GATCAGGCTTGTCCAACCTGCGGCCTGAGGGCCGCATGCGGCCCAGGTCAGCTCGTAATGCGGCCCAGTGCAATTTTATATTTTAAAAGAAATGCCAAAGTTTCAAGTTACACTGCCGGTGCTTGCGGCTGGAATGTGGCCGGGGCACGTCACAACAGTAGAGGGGGAGAGAGAGAAGGAAGGAGTGGGAGGGAAGGGGACAGGGGGGCTGCGTGATTTCATTGTGCCCTCCCCGTCAATAGGGGGACCCCCTCCTGGCCCCATAAAGCCGCTGGAGTCGAAGCTGGCAGCCTCTGCTGTCTGAGACTGCAGCTGCCGGTAAGTGCGCTTGGAGTGGGGCTGTGGAGGACGGCTAGGGCTGCCCCCCCATGTGGCCAAAACCAAATGTATGTGCGGCCCAAACAAACTTTTCATCGTCTAATGTGGCCCAGGGAAGGTGAAAGGTTGGACACCCCTGATTTAGACTGATGATTGAACCAACGTATACAAAATCTCTATTTCAGTTTCTGAATTTTGATTTCACTGAAGCAGTGAATGCTCTTAAATCACACTTCCATCTACTGGTGATGAGCAAGGGCCATGAAAAATTGATAGTCCTGGGTGGCTTGAAGGAGTTAATCCTTTGGCTGCTAGGCGAGTAATCTCCATGATAAAAGTAATACTCTAAAGGCCATGAAGCCCCCAGAGGTCAAAAACAATTCCTTAGAAACAAGTTTAGCCCAAACAGCAAAACTAATGAGAAAGAGTGTTGTTAAATAACACACAGTATTTGTAGGTGAAGAAGACTGAGGGAGGGGAAAGTATGTTGATAAAGCCTTTTTAATGCAAATTAAGTTAAGACAATTGGTAAAGTTCTCAGCTATTGAGAAGAGTAGAAAATCAAGCATAGCAATGTTATGAATGAATTTCTGCAAGATAATTTTGGTACCATTACTGATTAACTGTTTGCTTGAAAAAATAAAGTCATGGTGCATGATTATACATTATGCTTTGACATCTGGATTATTATGGCTCATTTTTTAAAAAAGATCTATCAGAAAAATATTATCTTCTCACTTATTTTCATTGATTGCCTTTCCTGCCTCAAACAAAAAGGAGTTTTGTCTTTCCTACAAAAGATTCATCCGCAAAGGTTTTCTAGATGTCAAAGATGGTGATACTTTAACCATGGGTGTTCATTGCTCCGTGAAAAGGGGTGGGGGACTGGAAGGAAAAAATTAAATAATTAAAAAAGACTGGTCATTTCATTTCAGTTGTTTAAAAGCAATAATCTAATTATGTTGTGTATTGGCAACGAAAAGGAATTTGATGCTCTAGATCTGTCACTCTCAAGGGGGGCATATGGCCCCTTGGGGGCCCTGGCCCATTTGAAGGGGACCACAGATTCATCTATTTGTGTTATATCCTTTTCTGCATACAGCCAAAGGCTTTCCATGTCTGAGAGGGGGCCTGGAACTTGAGGACAGCCCTAAAAGGACCATAGCAAAAACAAAAAGCAACAACAAAAAATTGAGAATTGCTGCTCTAGATTACCAATGGGAGAAGAATAGGTGACTATGTCACCCACACATGGCATAAAGAATGATGGTTTTTCCAGGGGAAGGTTTGGGGGGGGGTTGCATCAGATTTTTATGTGTATATGTCTATACTGCAAACAGTCAAAATCAGAACATTTCACTGTTATGAGACCACCTTGGTTATAGGCCAGATAGGAAATCTCTCAGCTGGTCTGAATAATTCATTGTTATTTATATAGCCCATCTTTCTGATATTTTGAAGGAGATAACATTTATCCTTAGTAAACTGAGACCACCAGCAAAAGGAGGAGGGACTGAAATCTTGCTGTTTTAATAGGGTTGGTGTTTATAGCTCTGGCATTTTTTAACTTGTGGGAGCTGTTTATTGAGTCATAAAGTCTACTAATGGGAGATACTGTCTCTAAATTATGTACTTCCTATACCATTGGGTTTAGTGGGGTAATTACAGTTTATCACCATTACCAGTCTAAATCTTCTAATGGGAATTTAATTGCTAATTTGTTTGTTCATTCTGTGAATAAACCAGGGTAATAATGTACATTATGTTGCACCTGCACATATTCTATATATTATATCCATTCGCATCCCTGAATATATATTTTTGGTATGCTGAGGTAATTAAAGTCAACATGGATCTTAATAATGCAAGAAAACCTGAATCCATGGAAGTTAATCCATTATTTCAGGGCACTATAAAATGTAAGCAGATGTTTTCCGTAGTTGCAGTGTATGGGCTATACTGGCCAAATTCAAAGACCTCTAGAGAAAATTATAGCTTATATTCCCCACCCACCCCCCAAGAAAGTTTTGGAACGATATGTAGTAAAAATCTAACTGTTGTGTAATAAGAATTAAGAATGAAAAGAAATATGGCAAGTTCACACTGTCCTAAAAAATTTTCAATTTCACACCTCACAAGACTGGCAGTAGAATGACATTCAGTTTTCCTTGGAAATTTGTACATTTCTGACAATTATACTGCATTTCAACAAAGAAGAAATGAACACATAGCCATGCATACCATTGAAAACATGTTACTGAAAACATTGTATTTGAAAATGTACAGAAAACTGTATGAGTCACTTGGAACAATGCATTAAAATGTGTACATTAGGAAAAATGCATATCAAAATATGCACATATCTCTGTGTGAGAATTTTAAATTTCTTGCAACTCAATATGTATCTGGAACTGGAGGAATGCAATAGATTTTCGTTTCTACAAAAGGGATATAATTTACTCAATCCCACAAAAAATGCAGAACTAGAATTGGGATATTGTGCCTTCAAGACTGTCCACATAATCTGGATTTGTGCATACTGTGGCAGACCATCAGGGTCAGGAATTCCATCTCTAAGCATTCAGCCAACAACCCAGTTGTTCCTGAAGTGGATGAGGCCAGGAGTGTCAAATGGGGTCATGGCTAGGGAACGTGCCTCGTCCTGGTAACTCCCAACATTCCACTCTATCCTTCAATTGAGTAGTACCTTCAGGGAGTTCCAAAAATCCACAAGGTGAAGTACTTAACACTGTTATGCCAACCCTGCAGGGTAGAAAGGCTACCACACCTGCAAAATACCAAACACTCCCGATAACTGGTCAAGGCAAGGACCAGTTTTTAAGTACTACAGACCCTTTCAGTGAAAAATCTAGACAACTAGATGGAGAATGTTTATTTTATTAAAGACAGTGAAAAGGATAAAAAGTTGAAAGCTTCAAAAGACATCAGCATTTGGAGCAAACAAAGACTAAAATTGAAAGAATACAGAAAAAGACGCAGGAAAATAAAAAAGCTATCTAAGCCACCTAATACTCTCACACTAACGTAGAATCATCATTGTCTTAGAGCATGCACAGAGTGCATCCCTCCCAGCATGGCATAACGGGACAGCAACTGAGCATAGTATCTCCCAAGAGATAGGCTAAGTCAGCTAAATTCCTTTATATATTTTAAGCTTCGCATTCTGAACCCTTCAAGATGGCCTATTGATCAGGCTTCAAGTTCCCCTGAATGTTCAAAAAGACAAGAGTAATTTTTGTCCCCCTCCCTTCACATAGCTGAATTCATTCTCTAAATAGCATAGTACCATGGAACAAGCCAGCTTGGCCTTAGAGTCTTTGCTGAGAGAAGTTAAGCTGCTGGTGTTACTCCTTTTCTTTTCTTTTTTCTTTTCTTTTTCTTTTCTTTCTTTTTTCTTTTTTCTTTTTTCTTGTTTGTTTTTGGTTATTGGCAAAGACTGCCCTTCTCTTCTCCTAGCCTGAGATTCCCAGGCATGGAGAGAAAAGCCTGAATTTTCTAGATGTGCCCATAACTCATGCTTCCCTAATTTCTCAGTTTCTTCACACATACATGCATCCCTACATCCCTACATATATCCCTACATACTGTATATCCCTACATCCCTACATCCATCCCTATATCCATACCTTAGCCACCTCAAAACTCTCTCTCTCTCTCTCTCTCTCTCACACACACACACAGAGACAGACAGACACAGACACAGACACACACACACACACACGTCCCTCCCTCTTTCCCCACACCAATACACCTGCTCTCTCCAGCACTTTTATAAACTAAATCTGTTACAATCAACAGTCAGAAGTGTATCAATATATCTATTTGGTGGGATGCTGTTTGAAAACTTCCAGAGTCTGGGTGATGCTATACAAAAAGGAAGTTTTCCTCTGTCTGATTGTGCACAAGTTATAGCATCCACCAGGCTTAAAGATTTAGGATCGTGATGGCCAAGCCGTTCTTCCCAACAAACAGGTACAGCAGATTTATCTTGTAAACTACTTAATCCTGCAAAGGTTACAGAGTAGTATAGATGGTAGAATTCCCACAGGTGTATCTTTTCTCAGCAAAAGACTACTGTGATGGGAGAAGTTGGTCAAATTTTCCTTAATGTGCAACTTTTAAAGTAAAGCAAAACAAAGCATGCTGCTTATACACCACCCCATAGCGCTTCAAGTACTCTCTGGGGGGTTTACAAGTTAATTATGCAGGCTACACACTGCCCCTCAATGACCTGGGTACTCATTTTACCAACTTTGAAAGGATGGAAGGCTGAGTGAGCCTTGAGTTAGCTAACTGGGTCATGACCACAGCTTGGCTTCAGTACAGCAATTTAACCATTGCGCCATGAGGCTCTTTAAGGGCACAAACGTTGTCACTAAAGACTACAATGGTCCTAAGCTATAGAAAACAGAAGGGCAATTACAGCAAAATGACCAGCGGTGGAGTTGCCAGTAGAGTTCTAAGCTAAAACAGTTGGAGCCTTCCAAGAAACAGTGTTCATTCTTCATAAAATAACTGAGAATAAAGGTGTATTTAAATTATTTTAATTGTGATATTAAATATACAGTACAATTTGTTAGAATCTGAAACAATTACAAAAGTATATGAATCATATTTCTACAGTAAAGTAAAAAAAATACAACTTACATTCCCCCAAAAAATCTATGACTATGATTATTTTATTTTGTTTAAATAAAAATGTACAGTTACATTTCTAGAGAAAGTTGCAACGTTTATCCGTAACAGGTTGAGTGGATGGGCTATCTAATCTTTGATGCCAAATACATCCTCTATTAGTGGTAAGTACTTGATTTTTTTCACTGGAAGGGTTGGTGGCTGCCCGCTCCATTCATCTTCATACTGGAAACAATGAATAAGAGGTGAAAGCAAGTTTAGAACTATACATAGAAATAGAAAGTGGCCAGAAATGGCATTCAACAGAATGAAGGGGTGAGCATTTCTGTCAGTAAATTGTCCTGGAAGTGCAACTATGATAGGACAGAAAATGGACAATAACCCATTTTGGTTAAAAGGCAGATCAACATTTCTCCAAATTGTTTTTTTAAAACAAAGGTGGAATTATGAATTGCAGGAAGGCTTGCGCTCAACTCCTCATGGCCTATTGTATCATGAACACTGAACATCTCTGATGCTGAATTTACTACCTGTAACTAGGTGGGGGTTTTCTTCCTAGACTCTTGCAAATGAAATACTACATTATTCTTAATTTGCTATTGGTAGTAAGCATGACCAGTGTCATTTTCATATGTCATCATCACCTTTATGTTTGATTTCATCTTGTTTTTGAATTAGCCCACCCAGATTTTTTCTAAAAGCGAGAAAAGAATGCATTCAAATATGCAGTTCATCTCACAAGACATGCTGTATTTTTATTAGAAACTTGGGCAAGTTATTTATTTGGACTACAGTTCTCAGAAACTCCTGGCCAAATGTGGACTGTAAAATGCATGTTATTCTTTTTGAAGCAAGAATTGAATTAGAACGTTTTGGTAGCCAAAAAGAAAAGAAAGTCAGATAACCAAGTTCTGATGCATGCAATGGTGTGGCAGATGTGTATCTGGTCGTTTCATTGGAATCCACAAAGATCAAATTCCTACAGCATCCCTAATGGGGACCACAGGCAGGGTTTGTGATCCCATTGGTGGGCCCAAAACCAGCAGCTGGGGATCAGTGCTATAAAGACAAAATGAGCTGTTTTAATGTAGATTATACTATAATCCTGTCCAGACTTGTATCAATTTGGAAGTTGTTTGGGATGGAAAAAAACCCTTCATATTTAAGACTGGCCTTTGGAATTTAGGGACATTAATTGCTTAGTTTTTTGCTACAGATTAATTCAGCTTGGGAAAAGTGATCTCGGACACAGAGTTATTGGATACAATATTAAGGGAATAAACTGCATCTACCAAGTCACAGACTGAATGTGAGAATATTTATTTTCAAGCATTTATTAGCTTAGAAACTGGCAGAAGGATTAAACAAAACTCAGTGGATTCAGTCATAAACGAGAATGCAGATTGAAATTTCTGTGTCAAATATAATCATCAAACACTCCAAAAATACTCTCATTTTAAATCGCCACTGAGATGATCTAACTGATATTATTCAAAGAACCAATAGGGGATTTAAATCCCATTCCTTCTTTAACATCATCATATCACTTATTTTCCCTCAGCCCCCTTTTTTCATTAAAATGTACTCACAGAGATGATCTTCAGCAGTTGAAACAATTAAAGTAAGTGATTCATAGACTAAAGCTTTTGTGCAAACAGAATACTTTTTAAAAAAGAATAATCCAAAAATCATGCAGCAGGAAGTATGTTATAGATGCACTTAGCAGTCTAACCTGGGGTCACTTGTTTGATATATGTTGTAATAAGGGCTCATAACATGTAGTTTGCATAGAATATGAGTAACAAGCTTATACTTAAACCTCCTTTCACAATAAAACAAACAGGGTAAACACAGAAATGTCCTGGATGCCTCCAAGAGCAGGTAAAGCAGTTCTTATTCTTTAAGCATAGTGGAGTACTGGGGGGCTCCAGGGGGGCACAGAGTTGCCCTTTGCCCACATTTCAGCTTCAACAATGATTTTCCCTCCCTTTGAGAACTTGAGAAGCCTACTTTGTGCTTATATGACACAAAAATTAACTCCTGCATTGTCACAGCACTTTACAACAGCCAGCGTAAATTGCTTTTAAAACTTATTAAATAAATCTTAAGTTTTGGGAGATTCTGTTTAAGTACTTTAATCAGTTTTTGTATTTGTTTACCTGTAGAGGAATCAAGATGGTCTGGAAAGCTGGAATTGGATGCTCTCTCCAGTCCAGCCCGTCAACCAGCTTTTTGTAATTTACTTGTTCTTTGCAGTCTTCACACCTATGCGCAGATTGGGCATGCATATATTCAGTATATGGCTTATTATTATTTTGCTCAACAGAGTAATGGCTCTCCTTTATATCTGAACCATTTTGAAAGCTAAGCATGAATTCACAGGTGAATACGGTTTCTTCTTCTTTAATACACAGCTGATGATGTAAAATTCTTGTTGTGGTAATGAACTATTTACACAGTTAAATAGACGTCTGTGCTTTAACCTCCAACAGCAATGATTTACAGCTTTTCTATATTAAAAGTTCAGATGGGATGGAACAAGCTTGCAGCTGACACCTTACAGGTGCAGATTTAGCAGAATCTTTCTCAGCAAAGAACAACCAGATATTGTTGCTAATGGAGCAAGATCCTCCCTTTATTCAAAGGAAGGAAAAATAGCATACACTCTATTTATAAGATAGGATACTGAAAAGCCAACACAATTAAGCAGAAGTAAAGTATGCTTTTGGCCTCTGAGCCAAATCAGCACTACACTAGCAATGTTCCTGCTTTTGCTTGCTGATGGGGAAGCTGGAGAGTTGCCACAAATGTGCTTTGAATTATTACATGTATTATTCGGGTTTGGGATACGCAATCACTTATCACAGAAAAATATTGAACCAATAAATTGCCAAAAATTTTGGAGATTAAATCAAAATCCTAGATAATAATTATTCCCAGTCCTTTATATTTAAATAGCAAGCAAAGCCAATAAATGTCAATGAATATTAAACCTGATTGCACATGGGTCTTAGGATAAAGCAGTGGTTCTTAACCTTTGTTACTTGGATGTTTTTGAACTGCAACTCCCAGAAACCCCAGCCAGCACAGTTGGTGGTGAAGGCTTCTGGGAGTTGCAGTCCAAAACTCCTGAGTAACCCAAGGTTAAGAACCAGTGGGATAAAGCACTGGTTCTCAACCTTGGCTTACTCAGGAGTTGTGGACTGCAACTCCCAGAAGCCTTCACCACCAACTGTGCTGGCTAGGGTTTCTGGGAGTTGCAGTTCAAAAACATCTGAGTAACAAAGGTTGGGAACCTAGGGGATAAAGTGTGCTCCTTCACTAAACTCTGTAGGTCTTTTTTGTGTGTGTATATATGCACAAAAAGCTCAAAAGCTCTCTTCGTAGACACCATTTCAGAAGACAGTGACACCAGGATATGCATCTCCAGTGAAGAGTGTTTGGAAACCATTTGGCAGCCGAATGAGGTTGTTTCTGCACTGGTACGGTGTATGCCTTCAAAACAATCTGGCTCTTTTTATTATGAATTGCAGTTTTTAATCACTGTTCAAAGGTAGCCTGTGTATGACAAACTACAGTGGCCTAGGCTCTCTCTGTTGTTGCAAGTGACATACTGGTCTTAGCTGCTGGCATGTGCTTGTGCACCATGGCAAACCAACTGGCCCTTCCAGTGATGGTTCAAACACCACCTCTAAACTATGAGCCTAGTCCTTCTGGGGGAGCACTGCCTCACCCAGAATAAGTTGGAACGTATGTCTACCTATCTTTTCATTGTTCCTTTTCAAGGTTTTTTTTTCAGGTTCACATTCTGTTAATGTGTTCAGGGCATATTCATTTCATCCTATATAACTCTGAAAATAATTGGGAACATATTCCAATTTTCAGAACTGTTGGATGAACAGATGTTTTTAAAGAATATTCCAAAAATGTGGAACAGTATTATGGGAGCCTGGTCTGGCCCTTAGTCTCAATTCTTGTCAAATAACCATGGCAAATTCAATTATTACCTATATTTTAGAGAGGCAATGCATTCCTTCTGCTGTCCTAGAATTTCTTTTCCAATTAATGCTCTGATTCTAAACATACTAGTTATCATTCAGAAAAGACAGGACTATGGCTTAACTTTTGTATAACTAGTGAAATTCAGACAGAGGCAAACTCCCACTTCATCAAATAAAATTTAAGATTAGGGTATATGTCTCCAGTTTCATGTTGTTCCCCCATGGTTTATAGAAAGAAAGGGACTTTTTAAATACTTGATACATTTATCACTGAGGGATACTATATCATTCTCTTATCTATCTGCATCTATTTTATTACTGTTTAACAGAAGCAGGGAGAAAAAGTCTTCATTCTCTTTCTGGATTCTCACAGTCCCAAAACACCCCTTGGCACTTCAAGTTAGTGGGAGTTCTAAAAATGAATTATTTTACTCCTTTTAATCAATGCTCATGACCAGGTGTTGAAAATGATGAATGTGCAGCAAATTTCAAAAGCCATCCATCTGACTTACCACAGAGAACTCCCTAAAATACTTCTTTTTTTTTTAAATGTAGGGATGAGATTTTTGAGTAACAGTATCTTATTCTCATTAGGCATTTCAAATAAAGACTAGATCGTCTACCACTGCCTTAGGGGGAGGGAGCTCAAATGACTGAAAAATGGGCGAAGGTGGCCTTCTGGTTCTAAGATGCCTCACTTCAAGTCCTGCATTCTGTCATTTTCTGATATAATAGCAAAGGATCGACTTGAAGGGATCTATTTTGGCAGGAAGAAGTGATCTAAGGGAGATGTCCTGTGGCTCCTAGGAGCCCAAGAAAGGGGCTTGTCAGTTAATCTTACCAAGGCCATGAGCCAAATGTTGCCTTCCTATACCCCACTGAATTCATGTCATAAATCTGCAGTCATATGACACAGGGCCATTAGCAAATCATTTGCCCAGTAAGCATGCTAACTGCGGATCATTTCTTGCTCGGCTAGTGGCTTTTAATTTTTGTTGTTGAAGGCCTTTTAAAAAAAACTTGCATTACTACATGTCTGAATGATCTTATCACAACTTTTTTGACCTACTGCCACTGTGCATGTCCTTTTAATATGTCTTTTCCCCCACGGCATTTGTATCAATGAATTGGTTCACTTCTGTCAAACCGTCTCAACAAGAAGGCCTAAGCACTTATTGAATTGGAAGAAAATGACTCGGTAACCCGAAACCACATGGCAATGCACATCGTAGAATAAATACATGATCACAAAGCACGACAGGAACACCATTAAAAGTCATGTAACCACAGGAGGACATTTTGCTGGCATGACTGTGGCCCAAGACTCATGGGGACAGCAGCAGGGGGGGGGAGAGACTGCCACTTCCCTGCCAATGAATTGTTTTGGCCCATTCTGCCAAGCCCTTTACACATGTGTGTAAAGAATCCCAAGGCTAAAACACAGCAAAGCTGGAGGCTTCTTGGTTTTTACCAAGCCATTATCCTACACCAGAACTATAACACTTGCTATATTTCTAAAGGAGCACAATGTCTCACTTAGTAAGAGACAAGAAACAATTTAGTACTGCAGTATTGCAACAGCAGATATGCAGCAGAGCCCTAAGACCTGCACCACGTTGTTTCAACCAAAAGAGGTGCCAAAGCAGTTCCAATGATGCCCCTTTTCCTTGAGATTTGTCACATTCAGACCCTCCCTGACTGAATCTTTTCAGATGCCACATTTAATTTTTAATGAGGCAGTTCTGAAACAGATGTCTGAACAGCATGTTTTCTAAATAATATTCTTGTCTATTTCAACATCTCTAATAAATTAAATCAGAGTGTAATGTACATGTGTACAGCTCTGTCCACGTAATTCATCTGATTCATAAGAACAGTATGCAATGAAGACAAGCATAAACATGAGAAATATGGAAAGAGATCAACATTGGTATATACCGAATTATGCAAGCTGTAGAATTGCTTGCACTCTGACTTGTTTTTCATAGAATTGAAAGTGGTTTGGAAGACAGTTTGCTGCTCTGAGTGTGTTTGCTTATGCCACTTTCATCTACAGTTACCTGGCTTTCTATTGTCTCAAAAAAAACAACAACACAACAACAACCTACTGGCAGGATGGGAATAAATCAAAGTTCACTTTATATTCCCCAAAGCCTTGGCCACATCATATATGTTCTACATTTTCAAGGGCCAAAGGAACACACCCACCCACACGCCCGCTCACACAGGCTGAAATGAACAGACCTGAACATGCCTAAGCCTGCTACATTCGCCGGGTTGAATAAAAAGGCAAGGCAGGCCAGATGTGGCCCACGGGCCGTAGTTTGGAGATCCCTGGTCTACAGCAATGACTGGTTAAACCCTCACATCTGCTATTTCAGTCCTCCCCTTCGAAAGAGATCAGCAAGCTTTCTGGGTACATAAAGACTCCTTAGCCTCTCTCAAGGCCTCACTTGTCTGGGGCCTTGCAAGCAAAGAATTGGATGATTCATCTTCTCACTCATAAGCACTGCATGAATTCTTCTACCTTCTCAGTTCTGTCCTTGTGTTTATGAGTATGATATTCTTTAGCAAAATATGCACAGAACTGTATGTTTGGCTCCTTAGGTTAAAGAAGTTTAAACAATGTTAAGCTTGGATAGGCTGTTTGCCTCTTTCTTACTAACAGACCAGTAGAAAAGCTTGCAAAACCAGTGCTTGTTGAAAAAAAAAATCAAAGTGTGCTGCTTATCTACAGCCCCATAGTGCTTCAAGCACTCTCTGGGCAGTTTACAAGTTAATTATGCAGGCTACCCATTGCCCCCCCCCCAGCCAGCTGGGTACTCATTTTACCGACCTCGGAAGAATAGAATGCTGAGTCAACCTTGAGCCGGCTACCTGGGATTGAACCCCGGGTCATGAGCACAGTTTTGCCTGCAGTACAGCAGTTTAACCACTGTGCCATGAGGCTCTTATGTGTGTATGTTCTGCTTTTCAAAGGAAAAAGACACTCATTTCGTGAATAACTCGAAAAAGAGAGATCATAATGGGAGACGGCATCTCTTTGTTTCAGTCTTGGCAGAAGCTAAGGCATCTTGCAGGGCTTCCAAACTCCTTCTCAATATGTCTGTTGAGGCAAGTCAGCCATAGGAATCAATGTCTCTTTCAATCTTTTTTCAAATTTTCTTTAAAAATTATATTTAGGTTCAAACTAAAATATATGCTAAGTATGCCGTAAGAAATATTGTTTCCTCGAGTGATGAAATAATGCCTGATTGTCATAACACATGCTTTTTGTGGACAATGTATCTAGCATTTAGCATGTTTTGTCTTGTGACATTAGAAGGTGAATTTGGGCTTCATTTACAAGTCTCATAGATCAGGGTTGTACCTTTGAAGAAAGACCATCTTTGGAAGGAGAAGAGTTAAATGCACAGGATATACATTTCCTCTAATATCTAGTGCACCCTTAGTCTCCATTGTAACTGCCTTTTTATCACATCTCATATAAAAATATAAAAATTTACATCAGTCAAAAGAATATAAAAATTTACACCAGTCAAAAGAGTCAAGAAGGAGATTGGTTCATCCAGTTCTGAGTACACTCATAGCCAGTGCTGGCTTTGTCCCTTCCTACTGCTCGCATGTGACCCCTGACAGATTACTCTGACAGAATAGGCTCTTAATGGATAAAAGGGTCACTATCCATGGTGTACATCTATTATCATCTTGAAATAAAACTTACGCAGCCAGCAGTGCTCGCAGAAAATCATCTTCCAGTGGTATCCTGAAAGCTTTGAAAATAGTCCTGCACTTGTCACTGGGCAACAGTCCACATCTATATGAAGAGAAGAAATGTTTTTCCATATTCATTGTTTTTAAATGTGATTTTAAATAACAAAAGACACCATATATGATTAAGTGATTACATTAGTGTTTTAAAAACTGTAACTTGACAAACAACAAAAACACTTATGAAAAGGAAAACTCTTAAAATGTTGCCTAGTTAATGGTCCTTCCTTTTAAGACAATCTTCTGAGGAGAATGCTGATTTCAAGGAAGGTGACCAACACTCACATGCACCTATGCCATTTTTAAAGCTTCTGGCCAGTTCCTCCATCTCCAGCCTCTTGTGAGAATCACAACCCTTCCCCAGCAGCACTTGAGAATATATTAGGGAAGAAAGGAAATAGGCCCTACATTTCCTCTGCAGAACTGTGGGACAGGGGAAGGAATAAAGAAAAGAAAGAAATTTGTAGTCCCAAGAGTATTTTGCCCATCTTTCCTTGAACAAATGGTGGGACTCAGGAGCCCCCATAACTTACTCCATCTTCCTGCTTGCCAACGAACTGTGCCTCCAGGATTATAACACATATTTACTATTAGTGACAGAGAGATCTTTTGCTGAAAACCTGCAGCTTTGTTTCGGTCTACAACTTGTCAGCACTTATTTCATTGACTTTATCAAGTAATTTTTGCAGACCACTGAAATTATGAATTAGAAATATGGCATCATTTGCCAATTAGCTGTTACTGTTTTCCATTGATAAGAAAATCATCATTTGATTCACTGAGTTCTTTGTCTCCCAATTTCTTACAGAGGAATTAGTGGTGAAGAAAGGCATGCAAATTTCTAACAGAAAATGGATTCCTTACTTGTCTCGGTCACTGTATGCCAAGTGGGCCAGAAGTTGGCCAAAATTCTCAAAGTTACTTTTTTTGAGTCGTTCCTGTGACACTGCTAGAAGGTACGTGGCATCCATCTCATTTTCATGTCGTACACTGTAATATCGTCCAAGGGTCATAATTTCATGTTCTGTTAATTGTCCGTCAGAGATATTCAACATCAAATTTCTGAGAAAAAAAAAGAAATAAAATTTTAGAAATTAGCATACAAGTCCAAGGACTTCTCTGGGGTATTATAATTCAGGCATTTCTTGCATACGTTCAGTATTATTATACATAATATTGCCAGTTTTGCACATTAATTTTACTCTGCTGTCAGTTATGTTTTAAAATATATTTAGTTCTAGCTATGCCATGTTTCAAAAACAGACAACTGGGAATATCCATGCTGTTCACATCACAATGGAACTTTAAGTGAGCTGGTAAAGGTGTATGTTCAATTCTGATATGTTTTAAAGCAGCTTCATACAGGAAGAATCTTTAAGGGTCAAATTTCTATATAATATTAATACCGTAATTTCCATGTATAAGACTATACTTTTGTCTAAAATATTTAGACTAAAAATTGTGGGTTGTCTTATACATGGAAGTAAGCTGAAGAGAGAACACAAACAAGTGGAGGGGAAAGCAGGGATCAAAGTGATCCTGCAGGGTTTTGATCCCTGTTTTCCCTTTCACTTGCTAAGCCTTAGCAAAAGGACAGCAGGGATCAAAGTGCTGCAGGATCACTTTCATCTCTGCTTTCCCCTCTGCTTGCTAAGTCCCATGGGTCTTAGCAAAAGGAGGGGGCAAAGGATCAAAGCAATCCCTTGGATGTATAAGGTGGAAAGGGATCAAAACGATCATGCAGTTTTGGGATTGCTTTCATCCCTTTCCCCTTCCTTTTGCTAAGGCCTGTGGGGGTTAGCAAGAAGGGAGAAAGCAGGGATCAAAGTGATCCTGCAGTACGTTGATTCCCTTTCCCCCTACACTTGCTAAGCCCCACTTAGATTTCTTAATTTTCAATTAAAAGGGTGAGGGCGTCTTATACATGGAGGGCGTCTTATACACGGAAAATATGGTAATTGTATGCTGTGGTGACCCTTTTCAGAGTTTTCTATCTAGAAAGTACTTCTGAAGGAGTTTATCATTCCCATCTTGTCCTGGGATTGTATAATTTCCCCACACATGTTAGCTCTTCTCTTGGGAGTCATAGTAGTGGACTGAACTCCCAACCTTTGGCTACACTGCTAGATATCTAGCTCACTAAGTTATCCAGCCAGTGAAAATTTTGTACCATGACGAATTATTTTTAACCTCCCCATCCAACATGATATCAACCCAAATTGCTCTCTTAATTTACTCACTAAAGGAAACAGAAGGTGCAGAGGAGCAAAGGTACAAAGGCCACCCACTTGCTCCTGCTAGGTTCCTGATCCAGATTGTCTCTTGAACCTTCTGTTTATTTTATCAAAGACATTTATTGTAACAGCTAATTGTGCAGATAGCATTTTGTCCAGTTGGGCCCTAAGAGACAATTTAAATCAAGCATAACTAGATTTATGTAGGTCACTATCCTTGTTATGAAAAAGAAGAGCGCCAAACAGTGGTACAATATATCTGCTTTCTACCTCTAAAATATATAATTTGAGGTGAATGGGTAGGAAAAAATAATGCTTATTGTTGAGAATAAACAAAACTTTTAACAATAAAAAAAGCCATCACTGCACCAGATTGTTCTCACTAGACCAAAGAATTAGCAACTGCAATTTTCCAGAAGATTGGCTAATTTCCCTTGAAAAGATGTATGAATGTTTCAGCTACCACCTTAAATAAGAGCTACAAAGCATCCATTTTGAATCAACTGAGAACTGAATAAACAAACTTTTTCAATAATTTGATTTTCTTTGCATAGCTTAGAATGATAACTTATAATATGTGCCAGTCATTTTTAACCTAAGTGTAGGATTATAATGTCTTTAAAATTTGCATGAACAGTTGGATTAGACTGCGGTAATCTACCACACAGAAATGAAAAGTGCCCTCTGGGTTTATCCACTCAAAGTTCACAAGTTTCATATTACATTATACAGCAACAGATGAAATTTTAAAAAGGTATAAATATGGTATATTAATCGGTCTTCTTTTGGTGCAATTAACCATACTGTTCATTTTTAATCACCAGATCTTCTAGTTGAGCTCCACAACACAATGAAATGGAAAAACATCATCATGCCAGCATGTCCATTACTGTTCTTGTTTTATTTATTAATCAAGCATGAACTACTTTCTAGGACATTTGATAAGATCTCTGTAAAAAAACGATTATTTCTTATAACTTGGAAACAAGGATATTAGCTCATAAAGCAAAGCTTAAGCTTGTGCAACACAGCTAAATTTAAATTTAGAATCTTAGGCACACACGATTTTCTGATTTTGAGATTATGCATGCTTTAGGAGGGGAATGATATTTCTCATTCCATTTTTTAATTTTGGTTAACAGTAACAAGAGCTATAGGTATCTCCAGAACTTTGCTTTACCAATTTTCAAGGGAGAAAGGGCCTCAAGCCAATTCCATATTTTCTATAAAATATACGTTGAGTTGAATCAGTGTGATGTACAGAGAAAGAGTGTGCTGTCCTCAGCAGAGAAAAGACAGGAGGAGACATCCAGATGTGTAGAGGGAGAACTCATAAGGATAGAAGAAGATGAGGTGAAGGGTGAGAAGGCGGAGGATAAGGAGGGGGACAAGGGCGAGCAGCAAGATCTGATACTATGGGAGGAGGTTATAAAAGGGGAAGAAGTAGTGCGGGAATTTAAAGTGGAAGTAGACATGAAAGAAAGAAGCAGGAGAAACAGCGTGGTACAAACAGATAGTGTGGACGAGCAGGCTAATAAGGTTTGTGACCTACTGAAAAAATTTCCAGACCTTAAAACAGGAGGAGGGTTACTTCCTGACCCCTCCTCTCCTAGAGGTGAAAGGAAGGCGGAAAATCCCTTAGAATGGATGGTCGTGGTCTACCCCCGCAACCAAGGTGGAGGGAGGAAGGTAATCCGCCCCGGTTCCGTCTGCAACACACCACCCCGGAGGGGGATTGGGCGGGACATCTGTGTTGTGGAACGGTGTGTGCCGCGAGGAGTACCCCAATGCGGCTGATGACCGACCGCAGACACTTTGGTCCAGCATCAATGTGAGAGATGGACTATGTACCCCAGGATCAAAGATGCTGAGTTATGGAATAATTCCAGTGTTAAGCAGTTTTGACCCATTTGATATTGATAGTAAGGAAGTGGAAGAGAATAAAGTTGAAGATGTTGAACAGTTCAAATAGTCTCTGTCTCTTATTCCCGCCAAAATGAAGGAGCCACCACCAATTCAAGAAGAACCCAATCACAATCAGTAAAATCCTATGGGTATTTACTCAAAGGCTAGTCTCACTGTGTTCAGTGGGATTTACTCCCACATAAAGGTGCACAGAATTACAGGCCCAAGGATTTACCCTGTAAAAGTGTTAAGCCTCTTTGTGTTCTGTGTGATGCAGAACACCAGGCTATCTATCTACAGTAGTGGTCAGGGAACAGGGGTAATTACCCCAAATGGAATAAAAATGAAAATCCTGGGGCTAATGAGAACGTGACCCTAACCCCCTTCCCTCCTCCTCTGCCCAGAAGGGGGTCCTCAGCAGCCCAATCGCCCCCTTCCCACCCCCTTCTCTGGCCCAGCTGCAACCGTCCCCAGAGGAGCCCATTAGGCGGCAGCAGTGCTCGCCCGGCTGCATGGCTTCCTTCAGCGGTGCTTCGAAACTGGTCGGCCAGGCCTGGAGAAACCTCTTGCCCTCCATGCAGCAGCTGTCATGGCGCTTTGACGGTGAGGCCCGTGGCCACCCTGGTGAGCAGCTGCCAGAGCAGGAGGTGGCATTGGATGCCCCCGGAGGGCGAGCCACCTGCTGGTCTTAAATGGCTGCCCAGGAGCTGCCCGCCAGCAGAGAAAGGGAGCCATCCCCACGGGGCCAAGGACTGAGAACGGCCCTGCCAGGCAGTGGCAAAGGAGGAGGCAGAGGTGGCCCGGGTGGCGAGGCTTTGGTGGTGGCGCTCGACTGGCCATGTGTGACCAAGATCCTTCCTTTCAAATCAAGGGGGCAATGTCGGCATATATAAAATTTTTAGGGGGTTAAAGGTTAAAAAGTTCCCTGACCCCTGATCTACAGCCCTGGATATTTTCATTGTTTTCTTGATGATTTTGGTTGGGCACAGCTCACAGAAAGGATTCTATGGGGTAGAGTAATTTAGTAATGCTGAATTGAGTAGTCTGTCATTTCAAAGTCTCACCTGAATTCATCATAATCAATAATGGTGGTATGTTGAGGATCAGCAGCTGCGAAAATCTGCTTAATCTCTCTTGACTGAGGTTCTCCTTTCATTTTCAGTTTGTTTAAGATTATGTTTATATCAGCCATAGCAAACTGCAGGGGAAATGGTGGTAAAGGGGGAAAAAACAGCATAAAATGAATCTGCATAAAGTACTGTTTAACTAATGTAGACAAATGTGAAGATTTAGACCTTCTTGCTTATGATAAATACTTCTTCGTTACATCATATTATATCATGTTATCATCTAAAGTCAATACTAAATCCAAAAACAGATTCCATAAACGTTTTCTAGAGATATAGTATGTTTCATTTGAGAGTAGCATCTGTCGTTATGCAATCAGAATGTTTTGCACCCATTCTTCCAAGCCTAGAAAAGGAATGTTCCCCTAAGCATCCTTACTTTAACAAAGAAGCAATTTCAGTCTGTGGATTTCTCTCTGACCCTGTGCCACACCACCAACATTTGGCACAGGAACGGTATTGGTGAGGAGAGTACTGTGTTGACTTTCAGTTCCCAAAAAGAAAGATAAACTGGAACCATGAATGCATATGGATTTAATAACATAATATTTCTTGTTGAAAAAAAAAAACTGTTGTGAATGCAGTGAATTGTGCATTCGACATGGCACATCTTTGTTCACTGAAGGGTTCAGCTTAGAGGTACCATAGATGCACGGGGAACCTCTGAGAGCTGTAGTCCAAAAACACAAATCTGAACATGTTTAGCTCAGTTTCTTCTCATGATCTGGTCTAGTAGAGCCAAGAGTGGACATTGTGTCCATCCTGGAATTTACAGCTTGGGGAAATATTTAGACTTCTCCATTGTAGTTCAGGGAGGTGAACCAGAGCTCACTATCAGAGAGCTGAAAGTACCTCGTTGTTGTCGTTTAGTCATTTAGTCGTGTCCGACTCTTTGTGACCCTATGGACCAGAGCACGCCAGGCCCTCCTATCTTCCACTGCCTCCCGGAGTTGTGTCAAATTCATGTTGGTTCCTTCGATGACACTGTCCAACCATCTCATCCTCTGTCATCTCCTTCTCCTCTTTCCTTCCCTCTTGCCCAAAATCAGGGTCTTTTCCAGGGAGTCTTCTTGTCTCATGAGATGGCCAAAGTATTGGAGCCTCAGCTTCTGGATCTGTCCTTCCAGTGAGCACTAAGGTTTGAGTGAGAAAGTACCTCACCAAGTCTCAAATCTCAAGATTATAGATGAATTCCCTATGATGAAGAAACTGTGAAATGACTTTATCAAGTCCTCTGTTCACTCAAAGACACACAGGAGGCTTCAGCCAAGAGGGCTGAAGTCACCACATGATTGTTTTGCCTCTTATCAAGTTTGCATTCACAACCCTTGTGACAGAGGGTTGTGTGAATCAGCTGCCAAACTGTTCGTAATCAGCACGTCTTTCAGTGTAGTTGAACTGGATCTTTCTTGCATAACCTCTTATTTCCAGATAAACATTCGCAAAATTTAATTTCAGTCTCTTTTTTTATCTCTAGAGAATGCAAGTCACTAAATATAAACATATTTAAATAAGGCTATTTCAATAGACTATGTTATGGAGTTACAGATAACATATGAAATTTACAAAACTACAATAGCCTCCCAACCCAGTTTTCAGCATCGTATTTTTATCTTCTCCCTGTTTGGTAGTTCTTTATCCCAGGGGCACAGACAACTGCTATGGGAAGAAGCAACCATAACAACTATCAGATGTTCTTATGGATTCTGTTTGGTTAGCTTTAGTTCCTTTATCTTTTGCCTGGGAAAATTAACTGGTACAGCAGAGACTGTATCAGCAGTTTTTCTTTTTCTTTTGCTGATTTTATTCCTCAGAAACAAAGAGTGGATTAGGACATTATGAAAGTCAATTGAATTGGTGAGCCTGAATCATCATCACACACAAAGTACAGTCCCTGACATTTATTAAACACATTATTCTGTGTGTGTTGCGCATACAACAGGTTCAGGACATACAACCAATCTTTTCCCCACTACATTGTTTTCAAATCAAACAACAGTGGGTCTGTGCTGATCTTGGGGTGAATAAACAAAGGTTTTCAGAATCACCATTGTTTAAGCAAGATAATAAGACTGCATATGCCTCAAAGGCCAAATAACTATTGGAAAGCACAGCTTGCCTCATTTGCATGCTTCTCCATGTAGTTGAAAGCATATTCATCAGCATCCACCAAAACAAAGACGTGGCCATGGAAACACACTTTGGCGCCGACATATAGATCCTCAGCTTTGTAGTACTCAGGAAGCTCACTTTTATACAGCTCTTGCCCGGGCTTTTTAATACGGCTTCTTTCCAGGAACCTCCCACCAATTACGCCTGTAAAGAGAGAACAATAAACAACAAGTGGTATCCTTCGGAAAGAAACTAACTAAAATTTAGAATCCACTCTCAAATCCCCCATCATCCACACTGAACTGTCCATAACAGTTCCTGCACAACAATTCTTTCCATCAGGGCTCTCCATACGCCAATTTCCTTTCTTAGTGTTCATTTTATTGCCAAACAAATATATTTCTTCTTGTTTTTTTTGTGACAGTGGGAGAAAAATCATATCTTTTAGTAGTTTCCATAATCCAGATACTAATACTGAGAACTGTACCTTCAGTTGAGAAAAACTAAACGGATCAAAGTGGTCTGAATCCAGAGGACGTTAGTTAGGTTTTAGAACTCCACTAGATGATGTGCTGATTCTGTATCAAGAAGCAATGTGCCCTTAAGAGGAGCGAGTATTCTATCTATTCTACCATTGGCTTGCCATAATCTGCAATTGAGAATGAACTTGCTGTTGTTTTTTAATTTGTCAACTGGGAGATAGCACGGCTTTCTTTAAATGTCTGAAGTCTCAATGCACAGCATTTATATGCCTTGGGGGATAATATTTCAAGAGGAAGAAATGCATATTTGCCTTTATGTGTGATCTCACCTTTCGTCTCCTTAACTTGGTCCCTAAAAGAAATTAATTTAGGAACATTAATGGAAAGAAAACTGACCATCTTCTTTTACACCTCCAAGTTCCTATGCTCCTCGAAATACTGCAATAGCAGAGACCCTTCTCAGCAACATGACAGGGGAGTAGGAGTTGTTGAAGAGCACAGGCCAGCTTGTCTTACTACTGTACTTGAATCCTATCATCACTTGAATTCACAGAGGAGGAGGAGATGGGAAGCTTCCCTGCCATGAATGTCCTTAATTGGTCTTGCAGTCATTCTCTCATCTTCTGATTTTGGGTGACTCCTCCCCACGTTGTTTTGGAAGGTTCCCAGTCTTAAAAGTGATGTTAATGGTCATGATGGTCACCCACTGTCATGAGACTAAAGCGTGACTACATTCTACTGGATCCAACTCACAGATCTTGAGTTGGGAAATCTTTATTAAACTCTGGATAACCAGTGTACTGAATTTTAATGATAGTTATTACCACACAATAACAGATAAACAATATATTTCTTTCAATATAACTTTTATATGGATGTGGGTTTTATCTTCCTTTTTTACTTTGTATCACATGTGCTTTTGTGGGCAAGTGAGCTTGCATAAAACGAATTTATATCTGATTCAGAAAAGTTATTGCAAAAAATTAAAAGGAACAACATATAAAAGAGGAAATGTTTGTCTTCTTTAAAGTGATACGTCATCGTCGTTTAGTCGTTTAGTCGTGTCCGACTCTTCGTGACCCCATGGACCAGAGCACGCCAGGCCCTCCTATCTTCTACTGCCTCCCAGAGTTGTGTCAAATTCATGTTGGTTGCTTCGCAGACACTGTCCAGCCATCTCATCCTCGGTCGTCCCCTTCTCCTCTTGCCATCACACTTTCCCAACATCAGGGTCTTTTCCAGGGAGTCTTCTCTTCTCATTAGATGGCCAAAGTACTGGAGCCTCAGCTTCAGGATCTGTCCTTCCAGTGAGCACTCAGGGTTGATTTCTTTTAGAATTGATAGGTTTGTTCTCCTTGCAGTCCAGGGGATTCTCAAGAGTCTCCTCCAGCACCACAATTCAAAGGCATCAATTCTTCGGCGGTCAGCTTTCTTTATGGTCCAGCTCTCACTTCCATACATCACGACAGGAAAAACCATAGCTTTGACTATTCGGACTTTTGTTGGCAAGGTAATGTCTCTGCTTTTTAAGATGCTGTCAAGATTTGTCATCGCTTTCCTCCCAAGAAGCAGGCGTCTTTTAATTTCATGGCTGCTGTCTCCATCTGCAGTGATCATGGAGCCCCGGAAAATAAAATCTGTCACAAAGCCATATTGTAACATGCAGGAAGCTGACATCACATTCTTCACCTTCTAGAAAATAGATGTGAACGGTAATTTATATACCATCTTTTATACTCCATATCATGAATCTTAAGGGCTCTCTCATCCCGGCAGTGACCTCCCCTGTGTGCCTGTTTTGCTTCAGCTACATGCAGTGTAGTGGATAGGGTGTCGGATGAGAACTTTGAAGGACTGGATTTAAATTCCTGCTTGACTATGGGAACTCCCTGGGGGAAAAGTGGCAAGGGTAAAACTACTCCTTAGATACCTTGCATAGCTTGAAAATAGGGTAGCCAGAAGCAACTTCATGACATATAACAACAGTAACAAGGTGACCACATCATATGTCCTTAGACCATGGTCTGAGGCATATAATGTTTTGTTCTAAATGGAAAGTACATTCCATCTGGCATACTGTATCTGTGGTTCATTTCCTGTATATAGCTGCACTCCCAAACAAAAGCCCAAAAGCAATGCATTAGATGCCATACAATAATTTGTATGTTTTATTTGGTGATGTAAATGTGAAATACTTGGTAGCACAATAAAATAGTATTTGGAGTCAAAACTATAAGTAAATACAAAACCCACAATACTTATACCACCAGAGCTTGTGCCAGAAATCTTCCTTGCATAATAAAAGTTAAAAGGTGAAAAATGCATTAAGATCAATAGTCAGAGTTCTGACTTAAGCCAATAAAAGCATTAACAGGCAAAACAAAGTATAGAAGCCCCTTCTGTCCAACCAAAATTGCACACAGGCCTTTGCAGAATATACAATATAAAACCAACACAGTACAATACAATATAACAAATATTAAATTCATAAGTCATACATTTAAAAACCAGTTTGAGGAGGTGACTGAATTACCTAGTAAAAAAGATTTTTTAATATACTCATTAGTTTGGGTTTTAATCCCCAGGGTCATTTTCTTTGTGCTGACAATATGAAAAGCATTTCTGCAAGCAGGATATTCATACAGAGAAACATACAGAAGTAAGACATTTTCTCTAACAGTGAGGTACAAGGAGGTAGGAGAAGGTATTTCTTTCCCCAAAGGAATACAATATTTAATTGTGTGTTTACCTGAAACGAAATGGCACTAGGGAAACAATTTCTCCCTATAATTTCCTCTTATAGCAATTCTTGATGATGCTGAGTACCCTGTTTCCCCAAAAATAAGACCTAACCTGAAAATAAGCCCTAGTATGATTTTTCAGGATGCTCGTAATATAAGCACTACCCCCAAAATAAGCCCTGGTTAAGTGAAACCCTACCCTCCACCATTGTGCCGCAACCAGAAGAAGATGATAGAATTGTATTTGAATAAATATAGATGGAAAAAATAAAACACCCCCTGAAAATAAGCCCTAATGCATTTTTGGAGCAGAAATTAATATAAGACCCTGTCTTATTTTCGGGGAAACACGGTACTCCATAGCAAAATCTCTATGACTGGGGGTGATGTATAAAGCTGTCACTGTTCCTCTTTCCCCTAAAAGCAGAAAGAAGAAGCTACATCTGGAAGGACAGAAAAGGAAAGAGGGGAATGGGGAGAGCAACAGCCCATTTTGACATCACAAGGCATGTACAATATGAAGCACAGTGATGAGCTGCATTTTCAATTTACTACACTGAACTCTGCAACAAGCCCCAAGGCAAGTATAAAATGTGCCTAATACTACTGCCGACCCTCTTGCTGATATTAGCTCAGTTCCTGTTTAAATCTTTGACATTAAAAAGGCTTAAAATATCTCATACACAATAATTCTGTTAAAAGTGAAACCTTCCCAAGCTTCCTGCTATCTACAAAACAACTTTCCGTGCAGCAACCTTCAGTCCTGCTAAATGATGTCCCTCTCCCCACATTCATTCTTGCACATACACAGAACTGACGATTTTTGTGGTCTTTCCTTTGGAAAAAAAAAAAACTCTGCCAGAATTGTGCCTCACCTGTATTTCGTTGGGGAGGTTCAAACACTGAAATGGTGTCATCACTTAGAAAATAAGAAATAATGAATTTCCGGTCCTTGTCAATGGGATCAGTAGTAATAAGTTGTGCGAGAAACCGCAGTATATTACTTTCAAGGCCTTGCCTGTAAAAGCAGAAGATATACAGAATTAAGGGTCTCATTTTCTTTGCGCTAAAACCACTCCTTATTCTTATATAAAATCAATAAAATGTAACACATTAATCAGCCTTTATATTAATAAAAGCTCTTATACATATATGTTAGGGAGATCATCATCATCATTATAAGAACATAAGAAGAGCCCTGCTGGATCAGGCCAAAGGCCCATCTAGTCCAGCTTCCTGTATCTCACAGTGGCCCCCCAGACAACTAGATACATCCCTGTCTCCTAATACCCCTCCCCTGCCTCTGGCATTTTGAGGTACCTTCCTTTTAAGCCTGGAGATTATACATCCCCATCTAGTTTCAATATGTCTTTTTTGAGGTGCAGCTACTAGAACTGTATGCAATACTTCAGGTGCGTCCTTACCAGCGTTTTATACAATGGCATTATAATGTTGGCTGTTTTATTTTCCATCCCCCTTTTTAATGATAGAATGGGATTGGCCTTCTTCACTGCTGCTGCACACTGACACTTTCATCAAGTTGTCCACCAGCACACCAAGATCTCTTTCCTGATCCGTCACGGACAACTCAGAACCAGTAGGTGAGAAATAAAGTTTTGATTTTTTGCCCCAATGTGCATTACTTTACGTTTTCTTATATTGAAACACATTTGCCATTTTGCCACCCATTTTCCCAGTTTGAAGAGATCCTTCTGGAGCTCTTCACAATCTCTTCTGATCCTCACCACCTGGAAATGTTTTGTGTCATCTGCAAACTTGGCCACCTCACTGCTTATCCCTGTCTCCAATTCATTTATGAATAGGTTGAAAAGCACTGGTCCCAGGACAGATCCCTGGGGCGTACCGCTCTTCACCTCTTTCATCATTTCATTGTCATCATCATTTCAGAACTCCAGAGCTGGAAAGGACCCTATGGATCATCAAGTCGAGTCCAGCCCCTGTCAAGGAGACACAGTTGGGAATCAAGCTCCCAACTTCTGGTTCCACAGCTAGATATCTAAACCACTGAGCTATGCAACTCTTCATCCCAGTTTTTCTCTTAATTAGTTTGCTTGTCTTTCCAAACCTATTTATTATGGGAGAAGTTCAGACTTACTGTAGTAAATTGTAAAAGCTGCACTAGGTTGAATTAAAAAAAAACCCTTAGAACATTATTCCACTGCTATTGAGTCTTTGAATTAATAGATAAAAAGCAGCCTAATGACTTATGAATAAATACAATAAATAATAAACAAAGCCCCAGTATCAATTCTGTTGTGGCTCAAACAATAGACATACAATTTAAAGGTCTCAATTGAGTTGGCAGGTCTCTGCCATACAAAACACTACATAATTTGACTCTGTATCTATCCATTGTTTCCCATGTAATCCATAGTAACACAGATGTACTGATATGAAAAAAAAACAATTTAACATATCCAAGAATTCCTTGGAGAACAAACAAATCATCATTAGGCAGCACAACACGTAAGCACTGCGACAAAGGAAGCAAGAAAAGTAAATGGGAAATGAAGGGAAAGATAAGGTAGCCTTGCTGAAGTGACACAAATAAACTACTTCATTTTGGAGCTAAATCTTTGAGGTTAATGAAAACCTAGACATTCGCGTTAAGAGATCAGAACTTACATTTTGAAAATAAATTAATTTCCTAATTCGGAGGAATAAGTAATGCAATAGTGTTAATTTGTAACAGTTGTTCTTGACATATAAACATGTGACAATACCTTCCCTGTGTTCATATTTCATTTTGAAAATGGGAGGGGATAGTGGTCTGAATATTGTTTTTACTCTAATACCTGTCTTTTTCCATGAATTTCTTGAAGTCTTTTTGGGGAGGTTTGGGAAGCAAGCCCATGCAGGAGCAAAGAGAGTCCTCTTCAGAACCAAATCCATTGTATGGTGGAAATGTCCGTTCTATTTTTGGAGGAAGTGGTGTCTTGTATGGAATTGGAGTAAAGTCCTCTGTAAAACAAAGCTAGTGGTCAACCATTTATTGCCAAGTTCCTAAACACATGAAGAAAGGTCCTGCATTTCAATAGATGCCATCTCAACCTAAAGAAACAAAATGGTTCTCCCCTTTTGGCAGAAGTCAGTAGATGATAAGTATACATTTTAGAAAAACAAATATTTTTTTCTAAATATGAAAAGCCAATTTTGAAAACATATTTCAATTTTCTTCCCTCTGGGAAAATACTGCTATTGATATTTTCCTCTGTTTTCTGTCAACATCTCTCTAAGGACGGGGAAATTCAAAAGTTTCCATGAACTTCAATAGATTGCCAAGAAACAAATGAACTCGCTATTCTAGCATTGGGCTTGGTTTTTTCAAACCTGCATATCTCATTTTATCTTCCTCCCCACCCACCCCTTTTAAATACTGGCCTAAGAATGGTGAACTAATTTGCATTCATCTCATCAACATGATTTATTTATCAACATTATTACTCCAGTCAACAGCGTGTACGTTGCATGTGACCATCCTGCCCTCCGAATGCTGACAGATGGGTTAAATAAAGCTATTTGGGGTTAAGCCAATTTATTTTCATTTTACTCAGCTGGTTTATGTCTACACATTTTTCTGCACTCATATGCATGCATGCACACACAGAGTTTGTCTCTCTCCCTGCAAATGCACACGCACTATATATACACTGAAATCTACACATAATAAACTTGTGAAGAGTCATATCAGAGAAAATTTTTTAAACTAAATTAGCTTCCATATTGGTGTATCCAAGTTTCAGGACTTGTATAATACATGTGAGACACTGATAAAGATCTTTCCTGCATTCTAATAGTGCCACCTAGTGCAACTCTAGAGGGGCTAAACAAAATTTGCAAAGTTATATGATGTCTCTTATAATGTAAAAGCCAGTGTTAGAGGGAAATCCAGCTCTTCTACTACCTTCCTTCCTTCCTGATTATTTCAGACCATACCATTAGTGTGGGATCAGCAGTAATATATTATGTTAGTGGCTCTGAGAAAAAACTGGTGTCTTCCTCCTGCAGAAAATTTTCCACAACTTTTCTTGTTTCAGAGTTGAACAGAGACAAAAATATTCCTCAGAGTTTGAAAACATTAGCATTAGTTTCTACTTCAAACAAACAAGCTCAATATACTTTTAAAATAAATAAATAAATAAATATACCTTAGTGTGTTAACATCACGTAATTTTTAATCCTGCCAATAAACCCTTCAAAAAACAAAGACAACAGGCACCAAATAATCAAAATTGCTGCAAAATGACTCCTCCTCCAATAGCAAGTAAATGTTAGCTGAAATTCTATGGTGCTACACAAAAGGTGTAACTTTTAGCAATAAATTGGCATTGTCTATTGCTCCTCATGAGCTAGTTCAGCTCTTTCTTATATAGAGCAGTGGTTCTTAACCTTTTTGAAAGAAATGCCCCCTTGAGCCATTGAGGAAGTTATCATCGCCCCCCTCCCTGAGGTGATATCTTACCTACCTCCCTCCCTACCTACCTACCTACCTACCTCCCTACCTACCTAGTCTCCCTCCCCACCTGGGTGCGAGGCAGTGCTTCACGGGGCGAGGATGAGGACCCAAAAGACCCTTTCCTTCCACCCGATCCACCCTCAGTGTTCCCCTAAAGGAGAAAGGCGAGACGTGGCAGGTAGAAAGAGCTGGATCATCTGGCGGCAGCAGCAGCACCGGATCTACTGCCAGCACTGCGGCTGCAGTCGCCTTCACAGGTTTGGCTCGCTCCAGCACCCCCCTACCGCCCCCTTCTGTTCTTTTACCCCGACACCGCCACTTTTCTTTCTACTGCCCCCCTTGAAAAATGAAATCGCCCCCTGGGGAGCATTATTGCCCACGTTGAGAACCACTGATATAGAGGACAACATCATCTTGAACTAGCAAGAGCTCACGGAATTGTTACAGGGCAGTTCCAAGGGGTGCCAGCAATTCATCTAGACAACTCTGAAGATTTCCAGACTTTGGACATATCTGAGCAAGAAAATTAGGTTTTCTTTCAACCCCACAGTGATCTGAGAAAGCAGGAGGTATTCCATGCCAGGGTGCATTGGGAAAGGTGACTGAGATGAAGGATTTCAAGGGGACGGAGCTGAAATTCCACTTCAAGACTCCAGTGCTTTGAACTTGCCATTCCTCTTTGGGAAGAAGAAAAAAGCCCGAAAATTCTGAAGACTTTGGCAGTAGAATCCATCTACGGTAATGAGAATGTTTGAAGTTGTGCCCAAAGGCTGGCTGATATATATCCCTAAGATCCTTCCTTTCATTGCAAATGGCAGTCAGGTGGGCAAGATAGCACCAATGCAGGCAGTTTTAGATAAAGTCAGTCCTGCCTCTCAGGAAATCCGATATTTTTTCCAAGTATGGAGACAAAGCACAACTCATATGCCAGGAGGTCCCATTTACCCCATACATTTCCTTTTGAGGGCAAGGGTAAATCTAAAATCCCATTTTTGTGTGGATGACCATCATGCAACCATGCCAGCAACTCCAGAAAGGGAAACATGCAGGGCATCTGGGTACTATCAAACTGCTGATTGTGGATTAGAGACACAAGAACGTTGGGTTGGGCAATGCCAAGAGTACAAAGATCAGAACCCAAAGAAGTCCTGTCTGCACACTATGTTGAAAGGGAAGGAATATAGCAATTCCTCATCTCCCCCCCAACCCCCCCCTCAAAAAACCACTACCAAAGTCAGGGTCATTATATGTGGTCAGAGGATTTAAACCATTCCAAATTAACCCCACTGAGACTTTAAAAAAGCAACTCACCTGATGCCAATGGGCTTATCTCACTCTTTGTTTTAAGCTCCTGCGTGTGTTGTTGGGGGAAGAGCTAGTGGGGGGAGAGGGACCAGCTGCAGGACACCTCTACCTGCACACAATCCAAATCTGCCACCTGCACACTTACCTCAGATTACAAAAGAAAGTAAAATTTCACTGCATGCTACACATTGAATGCAGCACAGTTTACAGGTAGAAAATTTCATTCAGATCTGACACTCAATCTGCAGAATTTTAAACAGAGGGTGAATCTGAGGATTATGGATTTACTATCACTTCTTAAATTTCAGTTTCCCTCCTTTAATTTTCACTTCAGACTGCAACAGCCCTGCTCTGTTGTCTTCCTCTTTTCTTCCTGCATAGTGTACATTCACTAAATGCAACAAGCAAGGTAACAGCAGGACAAGTCAGTTCTCTTCATGACAGCCACACATTAGGGACACACACGGGAACATTTGGGGGTTTCGTTCATTTAGAGGTTTTTTTGGGGGGCTCATAAATTTTCAGGTCATTGAGGTATCAGCCCTTTTTGTAAACCTGGAAGTGCCTGACTTTTTGGGATTCTTTCAACTAAGGATCCCCACTTTGAGATTCTGGCACTAATCCAAAAAGTCCATAGACACGGCAAGGCAAGAAGAGGGAAAGGAAAGAGGAGGGGAAGGCCCATGAGCTATGGGGACCAGCAGTGGCAGTGGCAGCAGCTGGGAGGCATGGAGGGGGAAGACTGGCGCTGGCAGGGCCGGGGTGCATGTCTGGCAGGGCCAAGAAGTGGGTGGTGGTGCAAAGCAAGAACGAGAGAGGGAGGGGAAAGAGCAAGGCCGGCAGAATGGCCCCAAGGTCAAAACAAAAGGCGTAGGCGAGGAAGGCACAGGGCTGGCAGGGTCACGAGATGTGGGGCGGCAGTGGTGGCAAAACAAGGACAGGAGAAGGAGAGGAAAAAGGGGAGCAGGGGCACTATTGTTGGAAAATCAATCTGAAGTGATTTTATATAAAACAAATAAAGTAACCCAACAGAGGAAATCCCATAAAAATCAGATATTTGGGGGATTTTTTCTTTCAGAAAACCCAAAAGAATTGGATTTCAGAGTCTTTTCATTAGAACCTACCAAAAGATTCTGATGATAAAGAAAGACACACATCTCGTGTGTGTGTGTGTGTGGGGGGTACTTTTAACATATAGCAACCTAATATAAAGTAAACTTGAATATATTTACTTCCTGGGGACTGCAAAAAAGATCTTGAGATTTCTAGAAAACTGCCTCAGGTGTACACATAAATGGACTGAGAAACAGAATAAAAGAAACTGAGTTAGAATTCAACGCCTGTAGCAGAACACCCACTATCTAAAGCATCACAGACTGATGCTTTTCTAACCTTTCCCTGGGGACCTCCAACTAATTAGATTTTATATCCTGCCAAGAAACCTATGTCAATCCTACTTTGATTGACAAAGAAGTATTTCCTAATTGTAACTTCAAGCAATTTTTAAAAATCAAAACTTACTGTGCCTTGCATTACACTCAATGGACAGGGTGAGCAAAGTATTCCCTGCTTTCCCTTATATATTTATAAATTTGTGCAATATTTTAAAGTCATTTCCCCCCCCCCCAGATTAATTCATGTAAAAGCAATAGCAGAGGATTAAGGGGAATTTTCCAAACCACCAGCACCCAGACATAATTTGCTAGAGTTTCACAGAAATACAATCCAGGAAAGTTTTAAAAATTAAGCACATTACCAGATAGTATAATTTGTAAATGATTCAACAGCTGCCGCAATTATTTTGTCTTTAAAACCTTCCCTAGCTTGGAATGAAACATATTTAATACAAACAAATCTGATATTCTTTTTTTTCTGTGAAATTTTGAAATAAACACTGGGCTGCCCTTTATAGATAACTTGACCTTTATGGATAGGGCTATTCTGTAAACCTCGAAGCAATTAATATTTCTTAAAGAAAAACTGCATTTTACGTACAGAATCTAAATACATTTACTTGGAAGTAAGTTCCGTTGATTGCAACATGGCTTACGTTCAAGGAATTATGCTATAGTTCCAATCAGCAATGTATTCATGAACAAATTATGGATGAAGATGTCACAGAAATAACTGTTCCTTAGTTGACTTGTAAAGTTAGCCTGGCATTTGCTAATGTAATGTTCATACTGGCCCAAACAACAACAAAAATAGCAGTAGTTTCAGTGCAATCTCTGATAATCAGGATTTGAAAATAGTAAAATCAGCTTGTCATTTTCTCTAAGCAGCAAAGTTTTCAAAAGCATTTGACAGAGAAATACAACTTTAAAAGATACATTCATGCAGAGCACATCTGTTATGTTCAGGTGAGCAAAAATTTTTTTTTGCATTGGAGCATGTCATTTCTTGTTAAATACATAAAAGTTATGTATACCATTTTGCTAAACACAAGACCCACCCAAATTTCTTATTTAGTGAATGTACACTTCCACCAAATTCAAGAATATACACATTGCATTTAAAGGTTGCTCTCGTGTATCGTGTCTTTGAATGAATGCTCGGCAGTTTTTTCCCCAAATGGAAGTCACATCAAACTAGGTGAAAATGTTTGAGGGAGGGGAAATCTAACCTAATCTATCTGGGTGTCCCATTGTCACATTATCACACTGAGCCTCACTGAAAGTCTCTTAAGTATTGTGGTGAACAGGAAGCTGCCTTATATCAGGTCAGACTCTTTTATTTCTCTAACCAATTTTAAATACCCCTACTGGCCAAATCCTGCTATGGTTTTAAGCAGAGCTTTCACATGACCTCTTATTTGACTGTAAAGCAATTAAAGGGTCACACAGCAGATAATTTCAGAGATATAATCTGATACTTTCTAGATGCAAAATTTCCGCACTGTCTCTGGGCTATAGTTCTTCTCTATACAGTACCTCTGTGGCAAATCGATGATACTGTACTTATATAACATACAGTAGGACCCCCATATCCGCAGGATCAGTATCTGTAATTTCACTTATCCACGGTCTGAAAATATAAAAAATATTAAAAGGGGAAAAAAGCCAGAAAAGCCTATTTTCATATATATTACCAGAACCAGCCACTAAAGAGAGATAGGGCTATTCTGTAAACCTCGAAGCAATTAATATTTCTTAAAGAAAAACTGCATTTTACGTACAGAATCTAAATACATTTACTTGGAAGTAAGTTCCGTTGATTGCAACATGGCTTACGTTCAAGGAATTATGCTATAGTTCCAATCAGCAATGTATTCATGAACAAATTATGGATGAAGATGTCACAGAAATAACTGTTCCTTAGTTGACTTGTAAAGTTAGCCTGGCATTTGCTAATGTAATGTTCATACTGGCCCAAACAACAACAAAAATAGCAGTAGTTTCAGTAGTTTCAGACCATACTATGAATACTTGTTAGTGAAGAATACATAACATGGTATTTAGTGGCCAGTTCTGGTCATGCATGTGAAAATACCTTTTTTCTGGGGGGTTTTCCCTTTTACCATGCACGCTCTCTCTCTCTCTCTCTCTCTCTCTCTCTCACTCACTCACTCACTCACTCTGTTCAGTATTATCCTCAGTTTTCATTCATTATCTGTGGTGGGGCTTGGAATCAATCCCCAGCAAATATCGGAGTTCTACTGTATCATGTAATCTAATGTTTGTATTATGTTTAGTGGCATACATATTATTGTAAGCCGCCCAGAGACCTTTGGGTAGAGTGGGCGGCATATAAGATGTAAGTTAAATGAATGAATGAATGAATGAATGAATGAATGAATGAATGAAATGCTCCATGCTTCAGACAGCCCACAGAATCCACAGCACAATAATTCCTCCTGCTCCCCACAAGCCCTCAGTACAGACAGGAGAGGTTCTATCCTTACAGCCAAGGCTACAGGAAGAGTAGAGGTCACAGATTGCCCTGCATGTTGCATGGAAACGGATGCCTGCCTCCAGAAACTTTAATTCAGGAAAAAAATCATAAGAAGATGAATTCCTTCAGATTATTCACAAACAAATGGCAAGAAGAGAAGGTGAAGGTAGCAATCAGACCTCTTAGAAGAGATGTGAACACATACAGAGTAAATGAGAGCAACAACAAAAAAAGGTCATTTGGGAGAGTGGTTACACTAATTAAAAAAACACAAGTTTTCAACTGGGTTCAGTGTGTTTTAAATCAATGTTTTGAAGGTGACTACACTATACACATGGAAGTATGGATATTTTTACCAAGGAATCATGTTTTTTTCTATCAGAAGTGAGCTACTTTACTCTTCTGTCAGAGGGTTATTTTAACTTGGATGCCAAGTTGATTTATTTTCAATTGTTTTGCTGTATGTGCACACTTAAGTCACTGTCAATTATGTCTGTTGCCTTGAGCTAGCTGCTTCTCACAGCCACTAGCTACTGCTGCTGTGGGTTATTTTTAATCTATTTAAATGTTTAATGGCTTGCTATGTGAAATAGTGATACTTGGACATGACTGATAGGAAAAAAAATAAAAAAATTGAACTGCAGGCTGGGTGGGGGAAAGTGCTCTTGCAGCAGTTGGCAGACAAAGTCCAATCTTTTAAAATGCTGTTGGTTGTTGTAAGTTTTGGGGCTGTTTGGCCATGTTCTTAAGGTCTTTCTTAATGTTGCAAAGGACAAAAGGAACCCCCTCACCACTGCAGGAGTATACCGGATACCTTGCAGTTGTGGCCAGGTATATATTGGAACCACAAAACGCAGCAGCCACACCAGAATCAAAGAACATGAGAGACACTGCAGACTAAAACAACAAGAAAAATCAGCAGTAGCTGAACATCCCCTGAAACAAGCTGGACATGCAATTCTATTCCGAAAAGCAGAAGTACTGAACAACACCAGCAATCATTATGTTAGACTACACGGGGAAGTCACTGAAATACACAAACACCAGCAGAGCTTCAACAAAAAAGAAGAAAGTCTAAAACTCAACAAAGCCTGGCTCCCAGCACTGAAAAACACAGCCTGCAAAAGGTCAACGAACTCTACCCAGCCACAAGGACCGGTGATTACTGCACACAAAAGACCAGCTAACAACACTGATCAATCGCAGTGAGAGATCATCTCTCCCCTTTATCACAACAATACACCCACAACAAAAACATGCTGATCACCATAATCACCCAATCTCCTGAAAAGGACAAAAAGCTGATCCCACAGCTATAAATACCCAACTATCCCACAAGCTGCACCAGAACACATATAGAGTTCTGACTCCTGTCCTCTGAAGATGCCAGCCACTTAGACTGGTGAAACATTAGGAAGAAAAACCTTAAAAATAAGGCCAAACAGCCTGAAAAACCTACAACAACCATTGAGAATGAAAGCCTTCGAGAATACAGTGGTGCACCGCATTACGACAACCCCGCTTGATGATGAAATCGCTTGACAATGCCTTTTTTGCGATTGCTATAGCGATCACAAAACAATGGTTCCAAAGGGGCTTTTCGTTTGACAATGATTTGGTCCCTGTTTCACGAACCGATTGTTCGCATTACGGCGATTTGAAACAGCTGAGCGGCGGTTCACAAAATGGCTCCCCACTGTTTTCTGGACCTATTTCCGCAAGACAAAGACCGCAAAATGGCCGCCCTATGGAGGATCTTTGCTGCATGAGCAGGTATTTCCCCCATTGGAATGCATCGACAGGTTTTCAATGCATTCCAATGGTTTTTTTTACTTGATGACGATTTCGCTGTACAGCGATTTTGCTAGAACGGATTATTGTTGTCAAGCAGGGCACCACTGTACTGTAAAAATGCTTTTCTGTCATTTAATATGAGAGAAAGGAGAGATGGGTAGGAGGAAGGCTCTTTGTCTGCCAGCCGCTGCAAGGGAGAGACAGGCAGGCAGAGGAGAGACCAACACACCTGCACAGAGAGGGGAGCTTCTAGGTTTGGGAAGGAGGGAATGTTTTCCTTTACTCAGCCTGCAGTCCAGTCTTCTTTACTTTTTACTATCAGTCATGTCAATGCATTGGTATTTCAGACAGCAAGTAATAATATTTTTTAAGGTTAAAAATAATCCCGCAGCAGCAGCAACGAGTGGCTGTGAGGCAGCCAATGCAAGGGCAGACAGGAAGGCGCAGGACAAAGCCTCAAATGCACAAAATCTAAAAGCCTGTGTAGGCCCTTCCACCAATACATAGCACAGTTTAAAAATGGATCTAAATTTTTCCCAAGAGGACACACAAAAACCACATGACTGTCACATAACTTTAAACCAATTTCAAAAACAACGATCCATCTCCTGACTTATTTCATCAGTGTAACTGCACCCTGATACTGATCACCACTTCAAGAGGCTGGCCAATTCTTGTGGGATCAAGAAAATATCTCTTTTAAGCATCTCTTCTTTCTTCTTTCTTACATGCTCACCTAATTAAAGCACTCAAGTAAGCTGTTAAAAACTGCTAAGGGTCATAATGTATGAAGGAAACCAAAGCTATGATCCTTAGGGAACTCATTGTTCTTAAATCCATGCAATATTTAACTTTCATGTTTCAGCTTCACTCTTTTATTATGAAGCGTGAACAGAGACAAATTCCAATGAAGTAAAGACAATCCCTCATTGAATTTGATAGCTTTGACATGACCCTTAGCCACTATCCAAGTCTATTTCAGTTACTTAAATGGAGGACATATTCTCTGCACAAATTGAGCTGTCCCATTCACTGAAATTGACTGAATACGCTGGAGAATGCAGTCTTTATTCCCTCCTACCATTCTAAATCAAGGCATTAATCTGCAATTTTACTGAAACTTGCCCAACCATGTTGTTTTTATAGATTCTTAAATGAATAGATCCCACAGAGAGAAATTTTCTCAACAAGCCACTCTGCAGAAGTTCACAGTTTACTGTACAAAGCTGACTGTACAAAGATGTCAATATGTTACTTACGGATTCCATACTTCGTCCTATAATATTCTTTGGTGAATTCATCACAATCACAGAGAAGTATCTTTCTTCCCCAAACATTGATTGCTGACCCTATCCTCAGGTCACAGTCCTTATAAAACTCCTGATGCACAGCTCCTGTCTAATCAGCGTGGAAAAGATACAAAAGACAGAAATGCATGTCTGTCGTGTAAAGATGAAATGTTTAGAAGTGGCGTTACACACAAGAAAAGATTATTTTAACAAATTCCCTTACTTCCCCTCAAACCACATTCCAGTTCAAGATATTTACACACTAAAAAAAATTACGTTATATATTAAAGTTACCTAAAGGAACGCCTTTTTCCATATAAGCCTACCCGTCCTCTAAGATCACGCCAGGAGGCCCTCCTGAAAGTGGTGAAGGGAATGGCATGCCGAAATAGGGCCTTCTCGGCTGTTGCCCCCCCTCCAACTTTAGAACACCCTCCCTATAGAGATCCACCTAGCTCCAACACTTTTGGCTTTTCGGCGCCAGGCAAAGACCTTTCTGTATAGCCAGCATTTTAATTAAATAGTGTTCTTTAGCTGGCCATATGAGCAGCAGGATTTATTAATATTTATGTTTTAATGACCATTTTTAATATGGGGTATTATTATAATATTACCTACTTTTAATGGTTTTAATGTTTTTAAAGTTTTAATATTGTTGTACACCACTCAGAGACCACTGGTAATGGCACAGCTAAAAAAATCTTGTAAATAAATAAATAAATAAAGGCCTGTGCTTCATGTAACAAAGGAGTATTGCAACAGATATTTTCATTAAAAAAATATGGATCACAGAATTTAAAGACCACAACTGTCACCGGCCTAAGTCAGATACATCAGAGATGGGGGATTATGAGAACTGCTGTCTAACATCTGGAGGACTACGCAGCTCTAACAGAAACATGAAGCTCCTCGAGGTATGTTCTTTCGCAGTTTGGACCCCAACTCTCAGAAGTCCCCAAGAATTCCCCAAGCAGAATTCTGGGAGTATCAGTTCACAAACACACCTTTTGCTCACTTGGAGCTGGGCCTATCCTCCTTTCTCCAGCCTTGCCTCCTGTTGTTAATGTAAACATTTAAAAAAGGAAGCTGCCACAGTGCTTCCTGGAAGACGTAGCTTGCTGCCCATCAGACGTTACACAGAGCAGTCTCCACCACGCCTTATTGTTTTTACACTAACAACAGGAAGGCTGAAGAAAACCACACAGCCTCCAAATTAGGCTCTGTTCCAGGTGGGAGAAAAATAGATATCCTCAGGTGTGTACTTGTGGATAGAAACTCCCTGAATTCTGCCAGGGGAATTCTGGGAATTACAATCCAAAAACAAAACACAAAAATGCGCACCCCTAAGAGCTGTTTTCTGTAAAGCAGATGACTTGCTCATCTGAATGCCGGTGGCTCCCAACTCCCTTTGGAAGCAGCCAGAATGGCAAATAATTAGGGATGGTGTGAGTTGTCATCTAAGGGCTTCAGATATCCCACCCATTTACAGATTATAGTTACCTAAAGATCCTTACCTTACGATTATCCAGAATGTAACGACCTTTATTCCCTACCAGACCTCCAAAAACATTCAATACTGTGCGATCTGTGATTATGCCAGGCTGGTACAATCCAACTGGAGCATACTGCAGGGTGGGAGAGGGAGAAGATATCTATAACTATTAAAGCAAGATGAGATAATTAGATTGTCTGACAATGAGATTTTATTGAACAATAGGTGGCTATTTTATAGTAGAACAGCAGACGATCAATGTGACAAACCCAGACCTACTGGGATCTGCCACACAGTTACACTAAGCTGCCACCAACCATTCCCTATAAAAAGTCACACAGACCAGGGATGGATTTTTAAACAATAAACAGAATAAGGTTTATTTAAATACACACAGGGAAAAATAAAACGATCAGGTGAATAGATAAAGTAACGTGGCTTAGTTTCACTCATACACACACACAGTTTGGTTCACCCAGAACCCTTAACTTGAAGCACAGACCCTGAACCTATCAGTTCTGGCTAACCAACAGACACCTGAACCTATCAGGTTGGTACTCTGACACACAGAAGTACCCTGTCTGACACACAGACTCCCACAACAGCTTCTTCTTCCCAGCTGCTGCTTCGTCACACCCCAGTGTCTCCCAGCTTCTCTCTTCACCACACACGCTCCACATATATATATACAGTACAGCCCCTCCTCCTGATGTCCCGCCTTCCACTCCCCATAGGATGGAACTTTCCCTCCAAACCCATGACAGACAGGTAACATCAGTGCTGTATGTAACAGATTCACCCACCCAATTCAATCCTGGGGCTCCCCGAGATTTGAATCAAGATGCCCTTCACATCACCTGCCACCTAAACCTTTCAATTGTTGGATACAGGGGATTCAGCTTGGAACCCTTCTGTTATGTATTCTTCCATGGAAGCTGTATGTTTTCTTATTTCATACGGTAAGCCAGTGGTCCTTAACCTTAGGTTACTCAGGTGTTTTTGGACTGCAACTCCCAGAGGCCTTCACCACCAGCTGTGCTGGCTGGGATTTCTGGGAGTTGCAGTTCAAAAACACCTGAGTGACCCAAGGTTAAGAACCACTGCGGTAAGTGAACCAGAGCTTGGGAAAGTTGCTTCTTTGGATGACAACTGTCACAGCTCTCCAGCCAACTTGGCCATTTTCCAGGCTGGCTGAGAAAGTTCCCTAAGCTGTTCTAAACTTTGAACAGAACATAATGATACATGTGAACTTTTGAATCCATTAAAAACTACAGTGTGATACCACTGGTATCCTTAGAAGCCAAGCATGATACAGGAATGGGTTGGCTGCCTTTCATGGCTGTTGTTAAGTGGGAAATGGAAATACTTGTTTCTAGGTGGGTTTTTTACATGCCACCTAGAAACCAGGTGGACTAGAAATCAGGAGACCTCGGTTCAGATTCCCCCCTGGCAAAGGAAACTCACTGCAGGGTGGCACTGGTAAAATCACTCCTTAAATATCTCACCTGTCTTGAAAGTTCTATCGGGGTCATGGCACATGACATAACTAAGAAACTTGGAGCCTTCTCAGTGGTTAGCCCAGGTTTTGGAATGCACTGCCTTGTGAGGCTAAGTTGGCCCACTCCCTCTTGTCCTTTCCTTGTCAGGCAAAGACTTAGCTTTTCAGGCAGGATTTTAAGCGATCAGTGGAGAACTCAGGAATGCTATATTTATTGAATTGAGAGATTTTTAAAAGTTGTTTTTAATCTCAGTTTTAATATTGGCAGATATTTAATCATTTTTACAGATATCTGGAAGCTGAGTCATGGCAACTAGACTTCTTTTTTATTAGGTTGAAACATTTAGCTACTCATCAAAGTAGCTTCTTCAGCCTAAGGAGAGTTGGTAGGAGACCCCTGATATATCCCTCCAGGTTGGTTTCACTTCCCCCTGGTCTGAATAGGCTCCTTAGATGGACAAAGGATTGGAGATGAGTGAAAATCCCGCCTCTGCAGTCAGTTGTCATGGGTTGTTAACAGTTGTTAACAGTGGTCTTTCTAGTGATCTTGCTGGGGAGGGATAAAAGGGGAAGCATGATTTTGTACAATTAAGTACTCTGGTGCTCCAAAAAAATCACATACATTTGCTACAGAAAAATAAATCCTAACAATGTAGCAATTTTAAAAATAGGCTGAAATCCTGTGGGGCTCAGATGCAATATAACTGTGCAACAGGAATGACATGATTATTAATGTCAGATTGTTACTAATTAAAGGTCCCTGTGATGATCGGCCACATCACTCATGCCATTCATATTCATGAGAGGACTGGAGAGGTGAAGTCAGCAGCTACATGAGGTTTGGCGGGAGAAGGAATCGTCAGATAGGGCTGGTTAGTCAGAGAGAGAAGGAACAGATACTGAGAGACATAGAACTGGTTAAGAAATTAGGTAGAGAAGGTGGTAATGATATAGCAAGAGAAAGGAAGTACAGTGGTGCCCCGCATAGCGACGATAATCTATTCCGGATAAATCGTCGCTATCTGGATTCGTCGCTATACGGGTCAAAAAACCCCATAGGAATGCATTAAACCCTGTTTAATGCATTCCTGTGGGGGGAAACTCACCATTATGCGAAGATCCTCCATAGGGGCGGCCATTTTCGGTGCCTCTAAAGCGAGACAACACAGCGGGCGGCCATTTTGGAACCGCCGATCAGCTGTGCGAAAATGGGGCCTTTGGGAGGACCGCGGGGAAGCCATCACTATGCGGATTCGTCGTTAAACAGGGCGCCTGTTAAGCAAGGCACCACTGAATGTACTGAAAGAACTGTTGATGATTTGCTTATGTATAATGTTTATTTGAGAAACCTCTGTTATTATTCAATCTGCTTCACTTCAATAAATAAGTTCTGTTTCTGTTCACAAGTCAAGTGTTCAATCAAATGTCATTTAAATTGTGGATTGAGGTAATCCACTGGTGGCAGCAAGAGGAAAATTCGACATGAGACTTTGTGACAGAAGGACAAGCAGGGGCCACAAGGGTGAACACCACAGTCCCCTTTTTCAGTTTTAGGGAAGACATGACTTTATTTTATTTCCTGCAAACTGTAGGCAAAACTTTAAAAGGAAGCCTTTAATTAACACCAATCTACCACTGATTAAGTCACCATTCCAACTGTATAGGCTAAGCTGTACAATAGGATTTTGTTGAGTATCAAATTATTTTGTATTGGCTAATACAGTCTGAATTCATATGGAACACATATTTTGACCACCTTTCCTAAGCTTTCTAACAGTGTCAAATTGAGAAGATCACCTCTCAGTCCCAAATCCTTGGAGATGACAAACACACGCCTCCACCAAAATCCAAAACAAAACTGCTCTTTTCTCAAAATTAGTTTGTAAGATATGGAAAACATTCCAAATATTTTTGATGCACTGGCATAAAATATATGTGCAGAGGCTTTTGCCAACAATGATTCAGCTTATCTTTAATATATGATAAGAATTATACTCTGGAGAGATCTCCCCTGACTAATCTTGTAATTTAAGAGTGACACAAAGTACAGTCCTCTAGATATTGGACTACACCTCTCATCAGTCTTACCAAAACAGACACTGGTAAAGAATGCTGAGAATTGTAGTCAACTTCTGGAGGGCTAATCTTTTTTCCATCTCTGATCTAATTACTTCCACCACCCCAGCTGGTAATGAAGCAACATCTTTCTCACACCCAGCCCTTTTCTCGGGAGGCAGAAAGGAAGATCCCTATTTCTTTATTCTCTATTCCTTGGAATTCTACTAGCAGTATTCAAGACATGTGGGGAGACAGAATTCCCTTCCTGCTACTGTGGAAGAAGCCAGTAAGTGCTACCAAGAAAAGTGGTTGAAGAAGGATTCACAGCAGTAATCAATTTAGAACTTCTAGGAGAAGAATTCTCCATAGATGTGTGGGGTTCAACATCTTTGGCTTGTGGGTTTCTCCAAGGCATTTGAAATTCTATCTATCTATCTATCTATCTATCTATCTATCTATCTATCTATCTATCTATCTATCTATCTATCTATCTATCTATCTATCTCTCTCTCTCTCTCTCTCTCTCTCTCTCTACCTACCTACCTACCTACCTACCTACCTACCTACCTACCTACCTACCTACCTACCTACCTACCTACCTACCTACCTACCTACCTACCTACCTATCTTCATTCATTCATTCATTCATTCATTCATTCATTCATTCATTCATTCATTCATTCATTCATTCATGATATTTCCACGCCTTTCTCCTTGAAAAGGACCCAAGATGGATTACAACAATGAAAGACAATATTTAAAGTTGAAAACAATAAGTATACAATGGCGGTTAACACAATGAGTGTAGCAAAGTGCTGGACAAGATGGACGTTGGGTCTGATTCAGCAGGGCTTTTCTTATATACCTGCCCCACTTAGATGAACAGGAGACAGGCCAGGGCAGGTTGGGGAACTGGTTGTCTTTCAGACATTGTTAGACTTCAGTAACCAACAACCCTTTTAAATTTGAATAGTGACGTACATAAATTCCTCATCCTGGATTAGAGAATCAAAGGTTTGGTGTATTATATCTACTATCTAAATAACTAAAAATTAACAAATCAATTAAATGCCACCCATGGCCCATGTTATATTTACCTTTGGTAACTTTTGTCTGTTGAGGAACAGGGGTACAGCATCCCGACCTGAATTCATTGGAATCACTTCTTTTATTTCAATGGTGTCATCAGACAAAAAGTAATGTAACACAATTTCTCGTACATCCCCAAACATTGTCTCAGTATCATCCCAAATGCCGTAGAAGCGTAAAACATGCCCATCGTGCTCAAGAAACTGTCGAAGGGTGTCAAAGCGCTCGTATGGACGCAAAGGTGTCATGCTGTCTACCACCTGCAAGTCAAGAGGGAAAGGAAAAATAGGAGGGCAGGATGTTAAACTTGTTCCAGAACTGACTTGAGGGCACATAATTAATTGATTATAAAACATTTAAGAGCATCAAACCTAGTTTTTATGACAAACTTTGAAAGACAGCTGTCAATTTTAAAAATAGATTCCTTCACACAGTAGCAGGAGTCACCTGAGCTAGACCCAGGACTATTGAGCCGGTGGTCACTCCCTCAAGGTTGTTTTTCCCAGGATTCTAGGACACATCTGAAATTAGTTACAGCAGAGGAAACACATGCTTAACTGAAGCAAGGATCCATACAGTGCATAAACCTTCAACACTGATTCTAGATGGTAATTTTTAAAAAATCTACTACAGTGGTGCCTTGCTTGATGATGTTAATTTGTTCTAGCGAAATCATTGTACAGTGAAAACATCGTAAAGCGAAATCAAAAAGCCCAATGCATTCCAATGGGCTGAAACCTCACTGTCCAGCGAAGATCCTCCATAGGGGCGGCCATTTTTGGGTGCCTGTATAGCGAAAAATGGCTCCTAAAAACAGCGGGGAGCCATTTTGTACACCCGGTGGCTATTTTGAAACCTGACAATCAGCTGTTTTTAGATTGTTGTAATGCGAAAATCGGTTCCCAAGGCAGGGAACCGATCATTGTGAAGCGGATTTTTCCCATTTAAACCATTGTTTTGTGATCACTTTTGTAATCGCAAAAACCTAATCGTCAAGTGATTTCCTCATTAAGTGAGGCAATCGGTAAGCGAGGCACCACTGTATTTTTAATCAAAGATTTTTTCCATTTGAAAAAAAAAACTCTCTATAACAACACATTCTATACCTGTATGTATAGTAAGGTCCACATTTTCATTTGTGTATATGCAACAGCTGTCAAACCTACAGTTCAATGCATTCCAATGGGGGAGAAAAAAATTCACCAAAAATTAACGAAGACTCAGAACAAAGCCAAATTAAGTTTGCACAGGTCTTGCAAGGAGCACTAACGATCCCAAGCATTTAAAACCTTTTTGAACATTTTAAGACACACTTAAAATTGCAAAAACGGACATCGTTAAGCGAAACAGGGGGACCTAAACTGTCATCGCTAAGCGAGGCAAGGTCCCAAACATCACTATGCGAAATTTCCCCATAGGAAACATCGCTAAACAGAGAGTAAAATTGCTCAAAAAACCCATCGCTAAGCGAATACATCGTTAAACGAGGCAATCACTAAGTGAGGCACCACTGTAGTTATAAAAAGGGTTTGTTTGTACCTAAGTAGCCCCTCTACATGAGTCAACCCACCTGTTCAAACTGGGACTTTGGCTAACACAAAGAGGATATCTATATATAACAGCATCCACCTCTTTGAGGTGATTCCATGATTATATGCATGACAGAGTGGAGAAGTGTTAACATGCTCGCTTGAACATGTGTGGGCTCCACAGGATTAAAGGCATTGCTAATTAGGACTCGACTGTTCAAGACCACAGCTAGGCAATACTGTAATAAGAGAGAGGCTATAGTACGGCATATGTGGACACCTTAGACCTGATCCAAGTGGAATTTAATTTATCTTCAGAAGTCTAAAATCTGACCTATAGATTACATCTGGGTGAATGGATGGCAAGGAAGGAAGGAAAGCATGAAGTAAAGCAAATTCTATCTTGTGCTTTCTGTTCAGAGCTTGTTTCAGACTTTGTGCTATCACAGAAGCAGCATGAGGAAGAAGGGAAGGAGAAGGCAGGAAATGGAGGAGGAAGAAAAGATATACCATGACAATAGCGGAACAGAAATGACATAGAGCTGAAAGAAGAGGAAAAAATGGCCAAAAAGAGAAAGTGGTTGAACATGTATTTTGCACAGGCCTCAACTGTTCCTTGAGCTACTTGAGACTGAAGCTCCAGAAGTTTACATTCACCAAACACTAAAAATCAACTCAACTGCTCTGAGGGAAGAGATTATTCAGTTAATCTGGGAAGGATACTACACAAAGCACATTCAGGGATTAGTAATACAGTAAAGTGGTGCCCCCAACTCCCAACCCAGACAGCCTATCCAGGACACTATGGGAAACTTCTGCTTGAAGGCTATAGCTGCATTCTGTTCCAATGACGTGCAGGAAGCGGCGGCTGCCAGCAGGCGGGGTAAAACTTTAGAGCAGGCTTGTCCAACCTGCGGCCTGAGGGCTGCATGTGGCCCAAGTCAGCTCGTAATGCGGCCCAGTGCAATTTTTTATTTTAAAAAAAATTCCAAAGTTTCAAGTTACACTGCTGGCTCTTGCGGCCGGAATGTGGCCGGGGCATGTCACAACAGTAGAGGGGGAGAGAGGGAAGGAAGGAAGGAGTGGGAGGGGAGGGGACAGGGGGGCTGCGTGACTGCATTGTGCCATCCCCATCAATAGGTGGACCCCCTCCCGGCCCCATAAGGCCGCCGGAGTCGAAGCTGGCAGCCTCTGCTGTCTGAGATCACAGCTGCCGGTAAGCGCGCTTGGAGCGGGGCTGCAGAGGATGGCTAGGGCTGCCCCCACATGCAGCCCAAACCAAATGTATGTGCGGCCCAAACGAACTTTTCATCTTCTAATGTGGCCCAGGGAAGGTGAAAGGTTGGACACTCCTGCTTTAGAGCATAAGATCAAAGGGTTATTTCAGCCAATCCTGGTTACAACTAGGTAACTAGTATCCTATCTGTCTCTCTCACAACATAATATGTAGATCACGCTAAGTAAATAAAAGAGCTCTCAGGGCATTGCCTGTAGGCTCCACTGGCTCCGGCATCCATTGTCGACTCCTTTGTTCTTTCTCTAAGGCAATTAGCCTTCCTTTGTTCTGTGATCACCCCCAAGACACCATGGTCGATGGTGTTGAAAGCCGTTGAGAGGTCAAGGAGTATCAACAGGATCACACTCCCCGTCTCTCTCCTGGCAAAGGTACAGGGCGATGAACGCAGTCTCCATACCAAAGCCCAGCCTGAAACCAAACTGAAATGGATCCAGAAAATCCATTTCATCCAGCAGCACCTGGAGTTGTGCGGCCACAACCTGCTCCAACCTTGCCCAAATAAGGGAGGTTCGCCACTGCTCGGTAATTAACCACCAGTTTATGGAGATGTTGACTCACCAAATGCCCACTGATTCAGTGGGGTTACTCTAGCATGACATATTGTGCTACACAACAGAATTTCAATCGTTATGTTACAAAACAAGAGCAGTAATAACAAAGAGGACAATAACCAAATTGGTACTAAATGAAGCTGTAAGACTATGATGTAGCTATGCTTAACCCACAAGGATCTCAGTAAAAATGGTTTTTTAAAAGGTTATAGTGGTACTGCACTCATTCCAAGATATATTACAGAAAGGAATGATAAAAAAAATCTGCACACTCATTCTAATGATTTAGACCATGTCTAGGTTTTTGACAAATTACACCAAGGATCTTCAGTAAAATATAGAAGTCGGGTTAAGTTAGCCCAGGAAGTGTCAGCTGAAAAATTTATTTTATCTAACCTCTCTCTAGGGAAAATATTTATCACAGTGCTTTTCTTTGAGGCTTTAGAATAAATTTGCTATGAATATATTGTAACATTCAGGAGAACAAACTGACTACCCAAACATTAAATGGAAATGTTTAGAATAAGCTGTAAATAGAAATATACTGAAAGGAAACATATAGTGGGATTTTTGGGTAAGATTCAAATATTGGTGGTTTTATTTTACTGTTTTCTATTCTACTTTTTTCAAGAGAATGATTCAAATGGGCTTTTCCCTGTGTGGTTAACTGTAATGTGTTCTATAAAGATGGGGGGCATGCCTCTAGGTGGTGTTTTGGTGACATAGGCAGTTGGGGTATTATGTTCAGGCCTGGGAGGGCATGCAAAAGCAAAGCACCATGATTTTAAAGGGGGAGATTGGGTGCTAGTCCTGAATCCTGTCAAATACAGTACGCTTCAGATTGAGTGGAAAGGCCCATTTGTTGCGAAGCAAAAGTTTAGTGCTGGTATTTACTTAATTGAACAAGTCTGAAAGTGGACTTTAAAAGTTTATCATGCCAATACCTTAAAACCATATGTGACCAGAGATTAGGTAATTCTTGCATGCATTACTTGAAAGTAAGGGAAAGGAGTAATGGAGGGAAGGGGGATGATCTCAGTTATGGAGATCATTCTGAGATGTGAATTATCATCTGTTTTGCAAAATTATTGCTCAACCTTTTGATGGACTGTACTCTTAGACTGTTAAGTACCTTTCCATTTTATTTTTCTGTAATCTGAAGCTTTAAATGAGAAATCACATTATAAATGGATCAGCAGAGGTGGGACTAGAGGAACAAAAGATCGGCAGAGGCAGGGGCAGGGAGAGAGGGTGAAAAGAGGCTGTGGGCTGGAATGCGACGTGCATCACATCCAGTATGAAGGATGAATTCCCAAGTCAATCTACAGTCCTTGTGTGAGCACTGATTGAGCTTTCAAATGTAGTACAGGCTGTGATTCAAATCACAGCAAAATCAAATTGTTCCAATTCAGATTTCCAGTATAGTCACACCCCAAGTCTTGGTCATAATGGCAGAATGTTTATTTAGAACAGGAGGAGGGGACACAGGTTCCCCCTCCCTCCACTATTGTCCTGCCCATGCAAAAATGACAGGTCTGAAGATGAGAGACTCATCTGTTCACCAAGGAACCAAAACATGGGAAAATCAAGTATAATGACTTCTGTAGATATGGTGTTTATATGAACACAAGGTGGATGCTTATTTATCAATCACTCACATTTATTATTGAATTAACAGAGATTTTCATCTCCAAAAACCACCAACATAAGCAGTTCTGCAAAGGGTCTGGGAGCTGCAAAAGCTTCTATGATAAATCAGCTGAAAGACCTCAAAGAAAGGCAGAAATAGTATATAGATGAATAATATGAACCTTTGAGCAAAGCAATAAAAACAAATGCACCTACAATTATAACATATCACCTATTTTCATGAAAGTTTAATAATGAGTTTTTCATGTGTGATACATGCCACTTTGGATATCTTATTCACAGTGAAGTACGTGATACACACTAGGGCTGAACACCGGATTCAGAGAAATCTCGAATGACAAAATGAATTGGCCTGATTCACCCAAATTGTGTGAGGTCCAGATCAGAGTGGGACAGTCAGATTTTGCTCCAGAAAAAAAATAAAGCAAGTTTATCAATCAATTTGTATCCAGAGCACAAATTGAATCATTTATTATTTATTATTTATTTATTTATTTATTTGATTTGTACCCTGCCCATCTGGCCTAATATACCCCGCCCATCATATACACCCCAGAACACACAACTTGTTTCACTGGTTTCTTTTCCTGTTTGTGAAAAATAAGCTTTAAAGGTGCCTAGTATTTTAAAAAAGTTTGCTGCCTAAAATGTATCTAGTCTACTTCCCTATCCAGGGTCTATTATGTCTTCAGATTTCATGTACATCAGTGTAAAAATTAAGGAATTGAGTCTTTCCAATGTAAGTTTTGTTTTTCAACTGCAGCTCAGTGGGAAGCTTACAAATAGACTTGGATCTGGGGGCACACAGAGAACTGGCTGGGGCAAAAACTAGACGAAATTTCAGTACATCCCTAATCTATGAATCAAACACCAATTCAGACTGGAGCTTTAATATGCCCATGTTGTGAATAAATACATGGGGGGTGTTATTTCATATTAGTAGCCCAACCCTGTGCATCATATACTCCCAGAAATATGTCCTACTATGTATAGTGGAGCATGCCCACAGGTTGATATGTACAGGATTACGATGAGAAAATGTACCTATAACATTTGTTTACATCAATAGTTTGGGATCTCACTATCTTACTACTCAATGTTTATTTGCACACAAGAGTATTGTACCATGCAATGTGCTGGATTATCACATAATAGCTGAAATCCAGTAATTAAAGTTACACTGTGTAAGTCATGTGACATCAACAGCTGTGGTTGCATTTTGTTAATAAAGGTTCCTAGGCTCCCTTTGATACTAGGGAAGCCTCTGGGGACAGTGGGATGGGGGGGGTTGTACATGACCAAAAATTGCCTCTATCATTCCCAACATTGTCACTGCAAACGGAGGCAGTGATTGCTGGAATTAAAACTGTCTGCCATCCCACTATCCTCAAATACTTCTCTTGTGTATAATCTAGATTCTAAGGGACATCCTAAGGGAGTCTAGGACCCTTAAAAGGGTGGGGGAGAGATGATAGAAACTTTTTATTTAGAAAATATGGCCGCAGCTGATTATATCATGATGTTCATATGGCATTACATTACTGGATTGTCCGCTGACTGCTATCTGGCAAGTAGAGCATAAAAACAAGTTAAATGTACATTGTCACATTCACCAAAAGCATCAGAACTTACACTGGTGGCAACTAGAAGACTACTGAGATACAAACTGCAAAATTTATTTCTGTGTTCTTATGCTATTTGTTATGAAGAAAGAAGAATTTATTTAGGAAATACACAAAACAGATTTACTGTGATCTGTGTAATATGTTGACACTGCAGTTACCTCTTGCCTGACAGCCATTTGCTGATTTGTTTTCCTTCAGAAATAGAGTATATTCACAAACACAATATTTGCATTTAACACTTACAGTTTGAGGTGTTTAAAAAGCATATTTTATGGACCACACAAGCATACATTTTGATCAGTTTCCCATTGTAACTTATAGTTACAGCTAACCTTTTGACGTTCTTTGGTATATGGATCATCCGGACGATTTTGTGGAGGCTTTAATCTCACTCCCATTTTCCTCAAAAAGTTTTTCGTGAATTGATCACAATCTATAATCTTAAATCTTCGTCCATAAAATACAATATCTGTGTTGAGGTTGAAATACTCTATGTTATAGAACTGATCTTCATCAGGTGGTGGAAGTGGGATCCGATGACGCCGAATAAGTGTTCCTTTGTTGGGAAAAAATGCAATCAATTTTTTTTCCAAACACAAACTTTACATTAATGTATTGTTATGAAAAATACCATTCTCAAGCAGAATATTCAAGATCCCTGAAGCTGAAACCAGTCACAGGGTAGCTCAGTGCCTAGACCACCATTTATACAATATATTTGATAGAAACAATTATTGAAGCTGTTTCTGAAAAGGACCACTTCAAATTGACATATGTGAATGGCATTTAAATACCTCTCATTTTTGAAATTAAATCCCACCATGTTAGCAATTATTTAATCTAGTCTTCCTCAAATGCTATTTTTCCCCATACATCATTTATTTATTTACTTGTTAATATACGTTGACGTTTTCTCTGGCTTCCTCTGTAGGTACACCCAGTCTGTAAAACTTTCTGCCTCATGAAACTTAGGTTGTTTGGTCACAAGTGAAGGCATATTTTGATGAGCATTTGCCTTGTGTTTTGTTTGGAAATGGCTAATCTCTCTGACATATTGTGCTGCTGTTTTGTTTATTTAGTTTAACTTCTATTATTGATTTTCTGAGTCTAAGTACATTTTTCATACAGTCCTATACATGTCCACAAAAATATCCCTGTTGACTTCAAGAAGACTTATTTCCATGTGTGATAAAAATCCAATATGCACATATATTCATGCAACTTGAAGTCCCTCAGTTTTATAGTTTGATGGATGGATATCAGGATAATGACAAATCCTGTATATCTGCCCTGTCTATGCAATATAAGTATAATTTAGGTGGGGAGCCCTGTGGTGAGACTGTATGCGTAAGCAGCAGACTGAAGGAAGAAGGACAGGAACAAAGGATTATTTCTTATAAATAATTGTAACGTCTCTCCATATTTCTCAAATAGTCAAACAAACAAAACTTGCTTTTTTTTACAAAGTAAACAAGAGGACTCAAAATTACTATAAAATACCCACAGCATTTTAAAAAAACCTGAAACCATTTTAATCATGTTGACAAGGTAAAAAGTGAATATAACTTGCAAAGGAAGCAATGCAAAAAAAAAACAAAAAAAAAACCAAATGCTGCTTACATACCACCCCATAGCGCTTCAAGCACTCTCTAGGTGGTTTACAAATTTATTATGCAGGCTACACATTCCCCCACCCCCAAGCTGGCTATTCATTTTACCAACCTTGGAAGGCTAGAAGGCTAAGTCAATCTTGAGCCAACTATCTGGGATTGAACCCCGGATTGTGAGCACAGTTTTGGCTGCAGTACAGCAGTTTAACCACTACTTGCAGGTACAACTGTTTAAGGAGCTCAGATTTCTGGTTCATATGCTGCATAACATTTTATGCTAATAATTCCAAATTTAGACCTCTATACTATATTCTGCCATATTTCCAGTAAGGCAAATCTTATCTACTTATGTCCACTCTTAATCATTGCCCATCACCCCTTGTATTTGCATCACCATTTATATAAAGGGGTATACAAACTTTATAAAAAGCAGATACGGAGCAAACGCATAAGAATTTCTGATTTTCTATTTTAACTCATTGAATGTGTCTGTTTTTATATGAAAAAACATCGTTTGTCCTTGAAGCAAATTAAAGAGAAAAATAAAACCAAAAACAGGTGCATCTCGGCAGAAGCATGTTTATTTATTTTTTCACAAAATAAGAGCAGGACTGTGAATGATCAGAAAAATTAGTGCCACAACAGTAGTTACCGGTATTTATTTCATTTACATCACACCTAATCAGATGCAATTAGAACACTCAGTAAATTGAGATACTAAAATGCATTTAAACATACAATAATATTATAAAGACCACTAATTGAAAACAATTTAAAATACTTTAGGAAAAAAAATATCAGAAAAGAGTCATAAGAGAAATATTATCCCATTAGTTAGAGCAATTTATAATTCTGAAAATGGTTTCCAACGTTTAGGTACCAATTTCATGATCTCATAACTTTTACTATATTTATTTAGAACATTATAACCTTCCTGTTCAGATAACATAGCCTTATTTTCTTTACAATCTTGTGTATAATCTGGATGCAGCCAAGGGATATTTTTTAGATTTGCTGCAGCCTGGTGGGCTAAACGGGGGGAGGAGTTAGGGTTGGACACAGAGACTGATTTGCATAGTTGTGTTGTTGTTGTTGTTGTTGTTTTATTGTTGTTTTATTTTATTGGGAAAGGTATGCTGCAATACCATTCATTTGGTCAACTGAAAAATGGCTTTAACTAAAATAATGTCTTTTTCTTTTTAAAAAGCTTGCACCTTTGGGAGAATATGGATTGCCTTGGGGCTCTAAGGGGCCATTTTAAACACAGCAAAATTGTCCCTCACATCTAGAGGCCACAAAGGTAGGGTTGCCAGATGTCAGGCAAAAGGAGGACTTGACCTCCTTTTTAGCCTAATGTCCTCCCGTCAGGCAGGCAAAGATAAAAACCTTTAAAATGTCAGGCTTTTGTAGATTTTATGTTATAATTTGGATGGGAGGGGGAGAGGAGGAAGGACTCCCCTCCCCCTGTCCTTCCCGGCCCTGATCCGCCCATCCACCCCCCCATTACCTGCTGCTGGTGCTGGAGCGCAGCCCTCACCCCCTCCTGCCGCGATGGCGGCTGCTCAGTGAACCGCCATGCCTGTCCAGCCCACATAGAGCCCAGAAAGGCAGCGTGAGCGGAGCACCGCCTGCCGAACCAGGCAGGAGCAAGCAGTGCCCGAGCGCATTGATGAGAAGGTGAGCACCAGACTGTGTGTGTTCAAAGTCCCTTTCGGGGACTCCAACTCCCACCCTCCCCAGACTTGAACTTATGACTGTCAGGGGCGGCTGCCTCATCCAGTTTTGCCCAGCGCTGCTTTCCCCCTGCCTGCGCTGGAGCCTTGTTTGGGCATCTAGATTAGCAAGGTTGCCTCTGAGCCTGTGCACAGTGTGAGCAGCCGGGGGATCCCGGAGCCGGGCCAGGGTGGGTTCGGGTGCAATTGGCTGTTTAAATAATGTTTTTTAGTATTTTGGAAAAAAAAGCCTCCATTGAATTTATTTTCATTTTTTAACATGACTGTTTCTTGGTCGGTTCACTAAGAGACATTTATTGGCAGCTATTGTGATAAAATTGTATTGACTGTGGGTTTAATCCGGAACGATTCAAATGAAAGATTCAATACGTCCTCCTCTGTCCTCTTTTTTGTCTTTGTGTCCTCCTTTTGGTACCCATGTATCTGGCAACTCTACACAAAGGGAACTAACTGCTCAGCAATTTTTCAGTCTCTCTCTTTTTAAAAAAAAAACTTGTGGGGTTGCAACGCTTGAAGGCCCCAAGAATAGTGGGAAAACCTCCCTGGACAACAGCCCACAACTGGCCCACTTCTGTTATACACAAAAGTAGCTTTATTGGCCACAACATTGGTCTCAGAATCTGAAGTTACAAGTTGCAAGTTTATTGTATTGGCTAAATCCTGTCACTATGGATTGAAATATGATCAAGTAAAATCATGATAAAAATCACAGACATGGTAAAATAATAAGAGGCCTATCCACAAGAGGAAAGATTAAAGGGGGAGGAGAAAATCAGGCAACATGTTTGGGTTATATCTAGGAGTCCCCCGCACAATTGATCACGATGGCTCTCAGGAAATTAGCGCGGATGTTTTTGGCCGCTTTTGCAAACAGTGCTGTTCTGTATGAAACATATAGGCCACAGTCCAAAAGTAACCTGCCCACCTTTATCTGAGGACTTTTCTCCTGTAGGGCAGCCAAAATGTTTCCCAGGAACTTTTCTCTGGGGTTTTAATAGAGCTGACAGTTGAGTAAATGGTGAACAACATCCTCTATCTCACTTGCTCTGCAAATACACAGCCTTAGATGCTTGGAGACATTCATGTACCTGGCGTCTAAGACAGCAGTTGGCATGGTTTGAAAATTGAATTCTGTGAATGCGGTTCTCAAGGAGGCAAAAGTAAATATATGCAAGTATTGCACCCTTGAGTGGTTTGTTTTAAGCAGATGGTACCAGTGAGAGAAATTTGAAGAGTCTATTAAGGCTAAGTCCTGGTCATTATCCAGTTTATAGATCCAGTCCCTCAACATTATTTTAACCCCAGAAAAAACAAAAATGTCTATGGAGAGGGATTTAGATTTTAGTAAGGTTTGACCTAAAGTTGCCCAGCCACACTGTTCCATTGCTCTACCATACAGCATTTAGGTAGGCGGTGATCGGACATATCCATCACCCTCTTATAGTAGGCACATATAGCTAGACCTGCCCTGGCTTTAATGGACACCATGCCTGTCTCTCTTCTAAGAAAAGCTGCTGGAGTCCCCCGAGGTGCCGCAAGGATGTGCCTCAGAAACTTGTTCTGTCCTACTTCAAGATGGTGCAGGTTATTCTGATTCACACCCCAAATCTCAATTCCATATAGCATTTGAGGGATCATTCTCCCTAAAGCTGGGGTTACTAGGTTACCACCTTTAGAATGGAAAAATTTGGCCAGAGCATGGCTAGATTTCTGAACCGCCATTTTGGTGCTCTGTATCTGGGATTTCCAGCAGTTTTTCTCATCAAAATGCACTCCTAGGTACTTAATGGTCTGGACTTGTTTTATTTTATATTTGCCTATAGTCCAGCTGAAATTGGGGGAATGCTTTCCAAAAATTATCACTTTAGATTTTGTGTAATTTATTTTTTAGTTTCTCTAGGTGGCTGAACTCTTGGAGCTTACAGTGGGGTCTTGACTTAAGAACGGCTTGAGTTAAGAACATTTTGACTTAAGAACCACTCTCATAGGAACATATTGACTTGACTTACATACTTAGATTTGAGTTAAGAACTGAAAAAAACCCACGTGGGGGGCAGGGAAAGTGCAAAATGTGAACTTTCAGTTAACTGTTGCCCAGTGAAAAGGGTGCCTGTCTGCTTCCTCCCTCCTCCCAGCGTTTAGAGAGTGGATTGGGAGACAGTCTTCAGACTGCCTGGTACTGCACTGCCTGGACTGTATTTTCCCTGCCTTCCCTGAACCTTTCTTGACCTAAGAAAAAAAGAAACAAAATATCCCCCTCTAGTGGTCAAAGGCGGAATAGCGGCTTCCCATTAGTTTCTATGGACGGAAAAGAGCAGATACGGATCAAATGGTTTTCAATGCATTCCTATGGGAAATGCAGATTTGACCTGAGAACTTTTTGACTTGAGAACCGCCTTCCAATACGGATTAAGTTCTCAAGTCAAGACCCCACTGTATTTAAGCTTCTCTTCAGTCCTTTTTTGTTCGTAGAGAGTAATACAATGTCATCAGCATATATAAGGCTTGCAATCTTATAATTCCTGATTGAGTGGGGGGGAATGGTCTGGATGGTTTAAAGTTGTTACAATATTATTAATATAAAAGTTAAAGAGTAGGTGTGCAAGTAAACACCCTTGTTTTACCCCTTTGTTAGTATGAATTTCCTCTGTCAGCCTTCCGTCTGTGCTAATCCTTACCTTCAACGTTGTGTTGGAATATAGTTCCTGTATTAGGGTTAGCAGTCTCTTATCGATGTTAGTCTCTGCAAGCTTATCCCACAGGCGATTTCTGGTAATTATGTCAAATGCAGAGGAAAAATCAATAAAAGCTGTGAACAGCCATTTGAATGGCCTGGTGGTATATTTGCATACAAGATGATGTAGCATGTAGATTTCATCTACTGTGCTATGGTCCTTCCTAAAACCTGCTTGTTCCTGGTGAAGGATGTTATTTTCCTCCATCCATTTAGCCAGCTTCTGGAAAAGAAGGCAGGTATAGAGCTTGGAACTGATATCCAGTAAGCTGACTGGGCGATAGTTCTGGGGGATAGGTTTATCACCTTTTTTATAAATTGGGAAAATTATGCTCTGCCTCCAACCCTCGGGGAAAATTCCTGTAGCGTTAATGAGAGAGAAGAGTTGTGCTAGAACTAGGGCCCACCATTCCAGGTGGTTCTTATACACCTCTGGTGGGATCATGTCCTCACCAGGTGCTTTGTCTGTTGCTAGAGCATCAATAAGTTTGCACACTTCCTGTTCTGATACTGGGGGTCATTCGGGTGTGGAAATTAGTAGGGTCTGGGGGTTCTGCCTTTTTTTGGCCCAATTATCTGCATTGCTATTGAAAATAGTTTGAAAGTGGTGGCACCAGGCATTTGCTGTGATGCAGGCATTTGTTGCAGGATTGGAACCTCTATCTGCGGCTGAGACCATACCCCAGAATTTTCTTGCTTTCCTTTCCAGTACAGCCTGCTCTAGTTCCTCCCACTGAGCTGACATAAATGCACATTTCTTTTGTTTTAAAAGTTCCTTACATTTTGAGCGGTATCAAGCCAGCGCCTCCAAATTAGAATTTGAATGCATCTTCCTTGTTAGATGAGCTACGTGCTTTTTAGCTAATCTATATTCTTGGTCATACCATCCCCCTCTATGAGGGGCCGAGGGAGGTGCCTGTGGCTTTTTATAAATAGCAATCTTAAGTTAGAATTGATGTAGTTGGTACCCTCTATTGGATTCCTATGTTCAATTACAATATCCCTATGTGCACTCAGCAGATGTGGGTTGTTTAGCTGTTCCCAAAGTGTTTGGTTGACAAGGGGGGACCATTTTAAGTATTTCCCTATAACCATAGTTCTCTCTGCCCAATCAGCCGGTAGCAGGGGCAACTGTGTTGTCAAAGGAATGGAGAGACAGATGGGTAGGTGGTTGCTATCGGGTCAATCTAATATATTTTGTCTCCTGGGATACCAACCCAAGGGAACAAAAGATATAATCAATGATACTCCCTGTCCAACTATTAAGGAAGGTGAAATATCCCTTTGAAATATCCCTTCTCATCCCGAGAACTGCCATGAAGGCAAATTAATTGTAGGCTGGACATTGTCTCGGCTAGCTTCCTACCTTGTTTATTGAGGACTTTATCAAAAGAAAAACGGTCAGATAAGAAGGGTTCATTGTACTCTAGGTCTGGATCAATTACCATCTCAGTTAAGCCAGAGCCAACTCTGGCATTAAAGTCACCACACAAGAGTATAGCTGTTTTTGGGTGCAGGAACTCACAATGGTTTATGGCCTCTTCCAATTCATTCCAGAAAGAGTTGAGATTTTCTGTTTTGTCAGGTGGACAGTAGGCACTGATGCATATTAGTGCCTGTATCTCATTTCCCCATGTTCCCATTACCAATAGTGACAGAATAAAATTGCTTTCAGACTGGTATACGACTTCTAGCTCCACATCCAATTTGACAGAGACTAAAATAGCTAAGCCTCCTCTTGCTTTCCCTTTCCTAGATGGTTTAAGAGCGGGAAGCAGAAATGGGGTATACCCATGTAACATGAGGGGAGTGGTATTAGTTAGCCAGGTTTCTTGCAAACAAAGGACATGAAACATTAAAAGAAATTTCCCGAACTCCTGGAAGAATCTGAAGTTGATTCACAAAGGACCAAACAAATATTGTACTCCATTGAAAATCCTGTTTGTTCCTTTACTTTAATATGACTGTCTGCTGACCAATCTATTGCAGTTTTTGAGTTTGCAAGGCAGTAGCCAGTAACATCTCCTTCAGCAACTTTGGAAACTGCCTAACAAAATGGACTGCTCAGCAAGCAAAAGGAACTGACAGGATTCTGATGGATACATGTGGGGAAGTGAGGTATAATTCTCAAAAGCTCCCACAAAATAAATCTGTGAGTCTTTCAAAATGCTTTTGTTTTGTTTTTGTTTTTGTTTCCATTACACTGGGAAAAATTCCATATTCACTTACTAGTGCCCTAAGATTCTCCCATATGTCCCAAAAGTAACCTTTTCTTAACTTATTTCATTGAGTGATAAAGACTGCCGTAATGAAGCCTCTGGTTTGCACAGCAAATCTCCCTTCTTATGTCTGCCTAGGTTGATGATATGCAAGAAAAAAAATCACCATTGCTTAGATGACCAGATATTCAAAATCGGGTATCAGCTTAAAAGCAGCAAGCAAGTGAGCTGTTCTTGCACTGATATTCAGCTCCTAACATATGGTGGAGGTATGTGAATTGCATAAAGTTACATCAGAAATAAGATAGAGGTATAGACATAGATATAGATATAGAGATGTGCCATGACTGACAGGCAAGCACTGGCAGAGTAATCCTCTGCCCACAAACCTCTACCTCCATAAAAATATAAATAGGTACTGCACACTACCCAGGAGCAGAATAAATAGGGAAATGATGCAGTATAATAGGTAGCAGATGGGTCCAAATACTGCGTTCTACAAGTAATTTAATCCATAAGCAAATTCTGGAAAAGAATATTAACGTATGTTATACACATTTTGCATCACCCAATCTGCATTAGCACATGTATTGTTTCATTACATTTGTATCTCTTCCAGCAATTCTGCATTATCTCAGTTCCAAATTAGACAAACAATATAAAGTTTATAACCTCAGATACTTAACCCAGCAGGCTGTGAAAATTACTTTAGGTTACTTTAAGTACACCCTGAAATAATGTGTAGGGTCTTTTTTTTCAGATAACATCTAGCCCAATGTCAATGGAACTATATTCATACATGCAAATCCTCTGAGGGGAAAAGGTACTTCCTAGATAACTGTGACAGAAATCATTTTGAGCATATTCTGTCCAATAGCTCCTATGCTCTGTTGCTTTCTTCCAACCAGGATAATCCGACCATGAGGATTCACAGAACCAATTTTCTACAGCATTTGGGAACATAAGAAGTCTTTAGACAATTGGTGATTCATTGAAGCTGGAGAATGGGGATGCAGTCCTGTGCGCCTGACTGCACTTTCCAGCTGGCCTTGGGGAAGCCTGCCAGCAGCCAGCATCTTTCTCCTGTTAAAACTGGCTGACCTTGGGAAAGCTGGCCAGCCCTTTCTGGATTGTGGGAAATGGACTATAGCAGAAACAAAAATTAACCCTTATGGAACTGACATAACCAGTCTCGTATCCGAGAACACTGTTTTACCTGGGTTCAATTGTTACACGATATGTTGAAATCTCATCCTGTGGTCTACTCCAACATGTAAGGGGTTCCATCACAACTAGGTTGATAAATTTTGATTTTACTAAAAAGAGATTTTTATGTGTTGTCCGAGATCGTTCTCACCCTTTGTCCAATATCCATAACATTCTTATCTGATTCATGCAGACTTTGATCTAGTATTTTATTCTGCTCTGTGAGCTCACCCTGGTCAAGTCTGCATGTTTTAGCACAAACCAGTTTTGCTAGCTGACCTATGTTCCTTCTCATGCTTGTAAGGTTTCAATTTTTTTGCCCTTCAGAATCTTGCCTTATAACAATGAGGAAAGCTCTGAAGCATACATGCCACTCTCATTTGGAGTTGGTGAGAACACCTCAGAGGAACATACTAGGAAAAGAACTTTTCTTCACATTTTGCCAAACTTCTATTTCAGATTGAGCAATGTGCCTATGAAAGTTAATACAGTATGCTGAGTTTCAAACGCCCTACGTGTGGTGACTTTCGTTGAAGCTGGTGTTTGGAATGACCCACAAATGATCGCCATCAATAAAAATAAAGTGAGCTGAGTATTTGGGAAGGAAGGAGGATGTTGTCTGCTATCATTAGCTACATGACAGAGAGAGAATGAGAAAGAGCTGTGCGGCGAAAAGGAAAGTAAGGCCTAATAGTATCAGTGTGTGAATGAGGCAACAAAAGAGCAAAGCACAAGAAAAAGGAACCATAGCTGCCTGTCTCTTCATGTACTGCCCCCTGGTGGCATGATGTTACTTGCAGAAGCATCAATGCAAGCATCACTGCGCATTCTCCCACTTCCAACAATATGCAATCTCATTCAACTTACTTGAGGAGACAATGGACTGTTTACTGATTTACAGTTGGCTCCAACCTAAATGACTGGAGCTTAAGCAGTGACTGAAGCTAAATTTGCACTATTTACAGCAAATTGTATCACACAGGCAAATAAAATGTTGTTTTTAAAAGAGAGCATTAGAATATTTGCAAGTAAAAATACCTTGCGGAATTCCACTGTTCTTCACTTGGGGTTCAACCACCTGAATTGTATCATCTTCCAGATAGAAATATATTTTGCAGTGTCTTATTCTGTACGGTTCTTGATTTTTGTCAGGGACTTCTTCATCAAAATATGCATCAAAAGACAATACCTGTATCAAAAAGCACACAAAAATCAACATTTCTTGCATCGCTAGCAAAGATGCAAATGAAATGAATCTGTGTCTGGAACTAAGTACAGTGGGGTCTTGACTTAAGAACGGCTTGAGTTAAGAACATTTTGATTTAAGAACTGCTCTTATAGGAAAATATTGACTTGACTTGAGTACTTAGATTTGAGTTAAGAACTGAAAAAAACCCACGTGGGAGGCAGGGAAAGTGCAAAATGTGAACTTTCAGTTAACTGTTGGCCAGTGAAAAGGGTGCCTGTCTGCTTCCTCACTCCTCCCAGCGTTTAGAGAGTGGATTGGGAGACAGTCTTAGGAACCAAGTACAGGTATAAGGTTTGGATTTCAACACAGAACTTAGCGTCTTCGAGTTGTATTATCTCATACTTGTTTCTGTTCACACAGGTCTACAGCAGGATTGCTCTTACACTGATGAGAATATACAATCAATTATTCTTTCAGCTCATTACATTAACACTATTTCTAAATAGGAGGGACAGCATAAGAATGTCCTTGGTCAACATAACATTGTCCTATTTGTATTTTTAAAATTTAAAAAAAGAAGGAAATTGGCCCCAAAATGAGCAGAGGTGAACACAATTGATTGGATGTATCAATGCTGAGGGGAACATGGGAGTCTGATCAGTCAAAATGCAGATCAGGGAATAGGAATGCAGCCTGTGCTGAATGGGGTTACACTCCCTTCTGAAAGCACAAGTGAATAGCCTCAGGGTACTCCTGGTTTCATCTCTTTACACTCCCTTCTGAAAGCACAAGTGCATAGCCTCAGGGTACTCCTGGTTTCATCTCTGGCTCTGAATAGCCAGGTTTTGGCAGTGGCCAGGAGTGACTCTGCATGGTTAAAATGAGCGCACCAGCTGTGCCCACTCCTGCAGTGATCTGATCCGGCCATGGTGACGCTTTCTTAGTTACATTCCAGCTAGAGTACTGTGGGGAAAGTGTTTGGAAACATCAACAGGTCCAAAATGCCGCAGCCAGGTTGTTAAATGGGGCTGGTTACAGGGAACATATAACTCCCCTGTTACAGAAGCTCCACTGGTCGCCGATTCATTTCCAGGCGCAATTCAAAGTGCTGGTTTTAACCTTTAAAACTCCAAACAGTTTGGCGCCAAGCCAATGTTCCCTGTAATTTACGTCCCCGCTAGGCAAGGCTCCAACCCCCTGAGCAGAGTTCTGTCACGACCGGAACCAAAGGGGCTGGAAATGATAGCTGTTTGTGAGGAGAGGAGGAGGAATGCTGCATGGAGGGGGCGCAGAGGCGCGCATGTGGAGCCATGCACCTCTGGAGGGAACCTTGGTCCAAGCTATCTCAAAGACCACATCTCCCTTTATGAGCCTGCCCAGGTATTAAGATCATCAGGAGAGGCCTTTCTCTCGGGCCCACCACCCTCACAGGTGCATCTGGTGAGGACACAGGAGAAAGCCTTCTCTGTTGCTGCTCCCAGACTTTGGAACTTCCTCCCACAGGAGGCCAGGCTGGCCCCATCTTTGCTGTCCTTCCACAAGTGGGACCTTTCTCTTCCGGCAGGCTTTTACTTAGTGACTGGTTGTCTGAGAGGGGTTTTTGAATGTATCGTTGTGCTCTGTTGCTTTTTAATGTGTTTTTAGTATTGATTTTGCAGTCATGTGGAAAAGAAAGTACACCCTCTTTTAATTCTATGGTTTTACTTATCAAGACAATAGAAATCATCTGGTCCTTGCCAAATTAGGTAAATGGAACTTCAGATGAACAACAACACATGACATATTACACTGTGCCATTATTTATTTAACAAAAAATGGAGAAATGTGGGAAAAACTAAGTACACCTTATGATTCAAAATTGTAGAACCACCTTTAGCAGCAGTAACTTGAAGCAACTGTTTTCTGTATGACTTTATCAGTCTCTCACATTGTTCTGGCCCACTCTTCTTTACAACATTGCTTCAATTCAGTGAGGTTTGAGGGCATTTATGCATAGCTCTCTTGAGGTCCTGCCACTGGCCCACTCTTCTTTACAACACTGCTTCAGTCCAGTGAGGTTTGAGGGCATTTATGCATAACTCTCTTGAGGTCCTGCCACAGCATTTCAATCAGGTTCAGGTCTGGACTTTGATTGGGCCATTGCAACACCTTGATTCTTTTCTTTTTTAGCCATTCTGCTATAGATTTGCTGGTGCGTTTGCGATCATTGTTCTGTTGCATGACCCAATTTTGGCCAAGCTTTAGCTGTTGAACAGATGGCTTCACATTTGGCTCTAAAATACATTTGGCATCCAGAGGGGTTCATAGTCAACTCAACAACTGCAAGGTGCCGGGGTCCTATGGCCTGCAAATCAAGTCCAAATCACCACCCGTCCACCACAGTTCTTGACAGTCGGTATGAAGTGTTTGTGCTGATATGCTGTGTTTGGTTTTCGCCAAATGTGGTGATGAGTATTATGGCCAAACATCTCCACTTTGGTCTTGTTTGTCCATTGCTCCAGAAGTCTTGTGGCTTGTGCAGATGCAACTTTGCAAACCTAAGCTGTGCTGCCATGTTCTTTTTAGAGAGAGAAGAAGCTTTCTCCTGGCAACCCTTCCAAACAAGCCATACTTGTTCTGTCTTTTTCTAATTGTACTGTCATGAACTTTAACATTTATGATAACTGAGGCCTGTAGAATGAAAGATATAGCTCTTGGGGGTTTTGCAATTTCTCTTAGCATTACACAGTCTGACCTTGGGATGAATTTGCTCAGATGTCCACTCCTGGGAAATTGGCAACTGTCTGGAATGTTTTACACTTGTAAATAATCTTCCTCACTATAGAATAATGGGCTTTAAATTGTTTGGAAATGGCCTTATAACACTTTCCAGATTGATGGGCGGCAACAACTGCTTCTCTAATACCAGTGCTGATTTATTTCTTCCTTGGCATTGTGTTAACACACACCTGAATGATCCAGAACAGCAAACTGCTAAAACCTCTTTTATAGAGGTGATCACACTTGCTGATGATCAAGAGCATTAGGTTAGCAGCACCTGGCTGCTACTTAGTCTCTTAATTCTTATGGAAGCAGTAAAGATGTACTTAGTTTTTCACACATAGTTTCTCCACAGGGGTTTTATTTTTTAGAAATAAACAGTGACACAGTATAATATGTGTTGTTCATCTGAGACTGTTTTTACCTACTTTTCAGACCTGCTAAGGACCAGATGGTTTTTATTGTCCTGTTTATGATGTCCTGATATGAAAACCAAAAAATTCAAAGCGAGTGTACTTTCTCTTTCACATGACTTTATTTACCAGTTTTAATACAATAAGTATTTTTTAATATTTGTATACTTGTTGTTTTTAGCTTTAAATATTGTCTTTTTACTGATGTAGGCTGATTTGGGTCCTTTTAAGGAGAAAGACAGGGTGAAAATATTTTAAATAAATAAATTAATTTTAAATTAATTTTAAATTAATAAATAAAATATTACTCTCACATTTACACTTGGTCAGTTTGCTATTGCAGTGATATGTAGCTCTGGTCATTTTCTGGCTATTTAAGCATACCCTGAAAAATGTATTGAATCTGTTCAGAAGCAAATCTCACCGAACATAATGGAGTTTATTTCTGGGTAAACATGCACAGGATCAGGATGCCATAGACTGCAGGAAGAATGAAATCATTTAGTATGTATTAGAGAAAGGATGCTGAAGCAAGGTCTGCTCCCATGATAAAGTGATAGCAGCTGGGGGGGGGGGTAAGAGAAGGGATTAACACACAGTAAAGTCTCGTCTGAACTTGCCCTTAATGAGCAGATTTAATCTCCTAATTAGATAGACTGTGCACAGATAATTAAACACTGATTGTGCTGCTAACATTACCCATATCAAACGGGTAAAGTCATAAACCTCGGTGAGAAAAAGTTTCAAATTAGAAGGAAATGAACACTGCAGATTATATTTTTCAATCCAGATTCCAGAATTTTGGAGACTCTGCTGCTTCTTATAAGCGTATAACTTTGGTAACAAAAATATCACCAGCTGCCTGGTGTTTGGCATGTGTATGCATTATTGTTTATGCTTTCTCTTTCTATAAAATTAGCAGTTGTATATAAAAAAAATTAATGTGGAAGGGAAGAAGAGAGAGAAAATGGAGATTAGCCAAATCCTGTGGGGCACTTTGAAAACCACATTACGTTTAGCTTCCTTGGATAGTATAATTTGATGAACAAATTTTATGAGAAACATTTTCAAGCATGAATTGTCCTATAAGTGACTTAACTATTTAACATCCTAATCCTCAACCCAGTTAAGTAACTGTATATGTGGATTTATGTTGATTCTGCCCCGCTGATTTTCACAGCCTAGGAAGTGATTTACATGAAAGCACTTTGGCCGAACCTGACTTGTAGATTATGCCAGAAGCACTGCATTCTTTCAGATATGCATCACAAATGGGAAAAGCAAAAGCATTATTTTACATATCACTGAAATGCAACATACTGTACAGACTTCCTTCCTTGTCTGTTCACCTTAATTCTATATTTTAAACTCCCAGAAAATGCAAATTAGGAGCAAAGGGATAACTATTTTTAAATGTCACAATTTTGTAAATAATACTTTTTGAAATGCTGGAATAAAAAGTCTAAAAATTGGACAGCTCATACAGAGTCACTGTATATTTGCTCAGGGGATCTGTTGAGTTCGCTGAGATATACTCACAGGGAAGTAGGTAGCACTGTAATCTCAGATGTCATGAGAATACATGCATGACACCTGTAATAATTAATCCAATCATATTTCTAAAAAGATAAATAATGATAACTTGCATACATTTAGCATTTTTGAGTGCTGTATAACCTTCAAAGGCACATTCTCCATTTTCCAAACTAAGGTCTGGTAGATCAGAAATAAGCTCTCAGCTCACATATTCTCTCGTTCCCTCCTCTGTTCCAAAGTTATCTCCAATCTGTTTTATCTCTAGTAATTTTTTTAGATCCTCCTAACCACAGAGGCAGCCAATGGTCTTCATTCAGCTTGTGGATGTTCCCCATCTTACCCCATGGAGGATGCAAGTGACACATGAATGACACAAAAGTAGACATAGTGATTTGGTAAACAACACAATGGAAATTTCTTTTTCTGCACATACAGAAATTTCTGCGCCACATTTACAATTCCCCCATGATACCTCTAAAGCAATGGAGAGCAAAATGAACCATGTAAGCTACAAGCAGCCCCCTTACCCTTGCCCTTTTTTTTGTCAGAAGTTACTTTGTGTCCTTTAAGGCAGTGGTCCCCAACCTGGGCCCTCCAGATGTTCTTGGACTACAACTCCCAGAAGCCTTCACCACCACTTCTGCTAGCCAGGATTTCTGGGAGTTGAAGTCCAAGAACATCTGGAGGCCCAAGGTTGGGGACCACTGCTTTAGGGGGTTGGGGGCCAAGCTAGCCATGTATTGGGGAGATATTTCTTCCTTTTTTGCCACTAGATGGTGCAAGTGACTATTTCAGTAAATAAATAATAAATATTTCAGAGGTGGAGACACAGGAGTCAATAGGAAAATGTTCATTGCAACACAACCACATGTGCACATGAATAGTTTGCTCTCAACATACCTGTTTATCAAATGCTACCCATGAAGGGGCATCACTTCCAAGTCCTCTAGGAAAAACACTGTACTTTGGTTTCAGCTTTTGCCCAGGCAAAGGTTCACCTCCTATTCCAGGTTTGTCTTCTCCCACCAACATAGAAACCTTATTGCAGTAACTCCAATGTTGAGACTTATGGAACTTTTCTTTCCCTAGCTGAAGTCAAGATGGGGAAAAAAATTAAGAAAGGTAAAAATAGCAGGACGTTTTAAAAAATCCAGAAACTACAAGAATATACTTTCAGCATTATTCAAGATCCACTAAACATACATAATCATGGGGAAATAATGATAAAAGATCTTTTCATCATTTTAATGTTCCTCTAAATTGGTCTCCTTCTAAATCCTCACATGATATTGCTCTGCAATGAATTACTCCCACTTGATAGGTTCCTTGGGCACATCTGCCAAACAACAACTCCACTGTTTTCTTTAGTGAAGAAACAGAGCCCTATGATATGATTGGTTAATGATTTTAACCTTTGGTAAAAACCGTGAACAAATCAATATACACATTACATGCTGTACACTAGGTCTATAACAGCACAAACATATTGACACTGTAGGCACTAAATTTTCTTCTGTTTCAGATCTATTAATGCACAGCACTCAGTGTTTGTATTCATGTCCATTATATTGCAAAAGGAGTAATCCTTTGGGGCTCCATCCTTATTAAAAACGCAAAAAAAAAAACCAACTGCCAGCTCTGCTATTAATGTTAGTCTCATATAATTTCAACTACAGTGGTGCCTCGCAAGACAAAAAACTTGCAAGACAAATGGTTTTGGCAATGGGGGTTGATGACTTGCAAGACAAATGTTCCTATGGCTATGCTTCGCAAGAAGAATGTTTTCCATTTTTTGTTCCTGCTTCATGTTTGCTGATGTTTAAATGTTTTTTTCTATGATGTTTAAAAAGTTAAAGTTTTCTGATTGAAAAAATTTAAATCACCTGCATAATATGTATGGTTTAAAGAGCACTTAATAAGCCCTTTGTGAACCAAATTTGACTTTGTTCTGACTTTTTTTGCCCACAGAAACGCATTAATTAGATTTCAATGCATTCCTATGGAAAAACGTGTTTCGCAAGATGAATCTTTTACAAGACAGCATTAACTGTGGAATGAATTAAATTCGTCTTGCGAGGCACCACTGTATATATTACATGAAGGCAGTGAAGGACTGAGTTCTTTTAAGAACATGTTAGCCAGAATCCCATTGTCATATAAGTGTAACAGGATAAACTGCAGCAGTGAATTGCCAGTAGAGATGGGCACGAACCATGGTTCAGTTGCACAGATGTTCTGTAGGCATCCCGGCTTCCCTTGCCCTGCCTCATCTAGTAGGCACCAATTCAGAGACAGTGGCGCAGCTTCCCAGCCCTGCCTCCTCTGGGTACTGCCTTTGAGTGGGTGCCCGGCAGAGATAGGGCAAGGGCTGGAACAGCTGTGCAGCCAAACTGCCAAACCACATCAAACTGATGAACTATGGTTCATGCCCATCTCTAATCACCAGTAATTACTTTCCGGTCAAACACAGTCACATGGTTGCCACAAGACTAGAGATGCAAGTGATAACTTGTTGTGGTTGTTGTGGGTTTTTCAGGCTCTTTGGCCATGTTCCGAAGGTTATTCTTTCTAACTTTTGCCAGTCTCTGTGGCCAGCATCTTCAGAGGACAGAAGTCAGAACTCTGTGCTCTGGTGCAGTTTGTTTGGGAGCTGAGTATTTATAGCTGTGGGATCAGCTTTTGTCCTTTTCAAGAGATGGGTGATTATGGTGATCGGTGTGTTTTTGTTGTGGGTGTATTGTTGTGATAAGGAGGAGAGATGATCTGTCACTGTGATTGATGGGTCTCGTTACCTGGTCTTTTGTGTGTAGTGATCATCGGTCCTTGTGGCTGGGTACAGTTTGTTGACCTTTCACAAGCTGTATTTTTCAGTGCTGGAAGCCAAGCTTTGTTGAGGTTGAAACTGTCTTCTTTTTTGTTGAAGCTCTGCTGATGTTTGTGGATTTCAATGGCTTCCCTGTGCAGTCTAACGTAATGATTGATGGTTTTGTCCAGTATTTTAGTATTTTGAAATAGAATTTCATGTCCAGCTTGCTTTAGGGCATGTTCAGCTATGGCCAATTTTTCCAGTTGTTTTAGTCTGCAGTGTCTCTCATGATCACCATAATCACCCATCTCTTGAAAAGGACAAA